AAGGGCCGTGATTTCGAGGCCGAGAAGCAGAAGAAATTGATCAAGGCCGCGGAAAAGAAGAAGGCTAAGAAGACTGCTCCTGCCCCAGAAGACAAGGTTGTGGAGGAAGAGAAGAAGGAGGAAGAGAAGGCTGCCAGCTCTGACGCCGAAGAGGAAGAAGAGGAAGAGGTTGACCAGGACGAGGAGATGGAAGATGAGGAAGAAGAGGAAGAAGAAGATATCCCACTCTCCGACCTTGATGAAGATGAGCGCGAGGATGTCGTCCCCCACCAACGTTTGACAATCAACAACTCTGCCGCTATCCTCTCCGCCCTCAAGCGCATTTCTTTCATCGGCCCCCAGACCCCATTCTCAGAGCACAATTCGCTAGTCTCGAAAGAGCCGATCGAGATCGAAGACGCCAATGACGATCTGAACCGTGAATTGGCCTTCTACAAGGTCTGCCAGGTTGCTGCTACCGAGGCCCGTGGTCTGCTGAAGAAGGAAGGCGTTCCCTTCACACGGCCGGGCGATTACTTCGCGGAGATGGTGAAGAACGACGAGCACATGGCTTTGATCAAGAAGAAGCTTTACGAAGAGGCTGCTAGCAAGAAGGCTTCTGCTGAGGCGCGCCGCCAGCGTGATCTTAAGAAGTTCGGCAAGCAGGTCCAGAACTCCAAGTTGCAGCAGAGACACAAGGAGAAGCGTGAGATGTTGGAGAAGATCAACACCCTTAAGAAGAGTACGTTTTCACCTTTACTATTGATATATCTAAGTTTTGCATCGCTAACCTGATTTTTCACAGAGCGCAAGGCTGACGGCTCTGCCCCCACTGACGACGCCAATGATATGTTCGACATTGCTATTGACGAGGCTACCCAGCCCGACAAGAAGCGTAGCCGCGGTGATGGCCCTGGTGGCAATAAGCGCCAGAAGAAGGACGCCAAGTTCGGATTCGGAGGTAGGAAGCGTCATGCTAAGAGCGGTGATGCCGCGTCCAGCGGCGATCTGAGCAACTTCTCCGCTAAGAAGATGAAGGGTGGCGCAAAGCGACCCGGCAAGAGCAAGAGAGTCCAAGCCAAGGGACGCAACTAATCGTTTTGACGTGGGTTATGTGGTGATATTGCATTTGTATCGTGCATCATGTAATTATTTTTTCTCGCTTGGGTCTGGATAACCAAAAAATGGCAGTTTTGATTTATTATCTCTATCACCTGTGCATATGAGACTTTGTAGCTATAGCGACAAGAGGTGAGCTCTGTGAAGAGTTTCGAGTTGCAGACATTCTACGCCAAGTACCGAGGTATGTTACGCATAAAAGGCAAGATGTGGTCTGGTGCATAGTAGATTGTATTGTAGTGTTGATATTATATATAGCAAGTCTATACAAATGCTATATCATTTTTAAGAGACTGTATAATCTATTGAGCTGCTTCAGCTTCAGCCTTGGCGGCTCTCTTCTCCTCCCACTCTGTCAGGAACTTCTCCACCTTCGGTCCCCAGACCTCTTCGCCGGCCTCAAGGTCCTTGTACTCCAAAACCCGGTCAGGGGAGAGTTCATAGTCACCTTGACGACTGCGCACTAGCTCGCTCATCAGAGCACAGCTACCAACAGCCTTGCCCAGATCATGTGCCAGTGAGCGGACATAGAAGCCCGACGTGACAGTCATTTTGATCTTCACAGCCGGAGGCTGGGGCTTGGGCTCCTCTGCAGGCACAACAGGGGTCTCTGTGGTTGCAGGTTCGGGGGCAGTAGGCTCAGGTGCAGGCGCAGCCTCAGTCTCAGACACCTTTTGCTTCTTAGCCTCCGCACTATCATCCTTCACCTCATCTGCTGGTGGCGACTTCCGCTTAGTAGAAGAGGCTTCAGGGACTTGGGTCGCAGCGTCAGCCGATGCAGAGGATTCCTGATCAAGAAGCTTCTCAGCGACAGCCTTCTCATCACCAGTCATTTCCTCCTCGGGCCATTTGTACTCATGCGTGCCAGGCTCGTACCACTCCACAATCTCCATATTCAAGACCTCAACAGGCCGATGTTTAATCTCAACCGGCGGCACCGTGCCTTCACGCGCATACTCGTACAACTTCTTTCCATTCACCCTCAAAGCAGAAAAAATAGGCGGCTTCTGCATAATTTTCCCGCGGAACTGCTCCAGCGCTTTCTCGACTGCTTCGCGCGTGATATGTTCGTAGGGCGCGCGACGCACGATCTTCCCAAGACGGTCGTAGGTATCCGTCTCCGCGCCGAAGGTGACAATGGTTTCGTAGCTCTTAGTGCAAGCCAGGAAATCCTGGAGGGACTTTGTTCCCTTTCCAATTCCGGTGATGAGCACGCCTGTCGCGAGCGGGTCTAGGGTTCCGCCGTGGCCGATCTTGACGTCGAGGCGTTGGTGGCGACGGCGTTTGCGCTGGAATTGGCTCTCGCGATCGCGACGGGCGCGTTCTTCTTCTAGCCATGGTCTGAATGTTTTGGAGGGGTTGAAGTGTTTCTGCAAGGTGCGGATCACGTCGGCGGAGGTTACGCCTTGCGGCTTATGGACGGCTGGAGAAGTTAGATTGATGTCTTGCTTTGGTTGGACTTAAGCTTACCGAATACGCCTTCGAGGATCTTTTCGCCGGACATTGTGGTGCGAAAAAGTCGGAAGCCTGGAGGGAATGGCATCTGGGGAGATGGGAGTTCGAAAATGGAAAAAAGTTATTTTGGTAGAGATTTGGTTCCCGCCTTTACGGCAGTTCTTTGGGACCACAAGGCGATTTGTATGATTTTGATATACAAGGCTTTTAGATCATAAATAGGGATATAGATATTAAACAACAACGCTAATTGAAGTAAATTGGTGACTGAAAATAGCAACCCTAAAAGAGGTTTAAGGTCCCTTTTACAAAATCTTAGTCATCGTGACGCTTGTCCATGTGCATAGCAAGATATTAAATAAAGACTTTGATAGCCTGCCTCCGTTCATTATCCCGTAAACCTCCAACAATAGAGGCATTCACAAGCAAACATTGTGCTTCCGTAGGCGGGCGGACATACGCTTTGGCGAACTCCCATATTGTAGATAGAAGATTCTTCACACCACCTCTGGCAGCGACGGTGCGCTCATACGCATTTTGGAGTCCATTAAACAGCATCCAATCGGTGCCTGCACCTTCATGGACATGTCCGAACACATGCAGTCTTGGTTTCACTCTCCATAGTGTCCGTAGTAGATGAGCACAGCCCAACTTTAGTAAGTCAAGATGAGCAAGTGGTGGACTGTGAGTGATGAGTATATCGATTCCATCTGGCACTGAGCTATCCCATACATTTTGATCCTTGGGATATTGGAATGCCCAGTTACCATAATGCGCAGAGTAAGGACTTCCATAGACTCGCAGCTGACGACCATTCGGACAAGAAATGGTTACTTCCTGATTTTCTAGGTAAATAATGTCGCCCCAGTTTAGCTGGGCCCGCTCAGAGGCTGCCTGGCACGATGGATCATCCCGTGTTGAATCAAGTAAAAGATCATGATTACCAGCAATAACGATCTTAGTTGAGTGAGGCTGGGCGCTTAGCCAGGTGAGTGCTGTCTGGAGCTCCTTGAAAGTCCCCGATTGCGTGAGGTCACCAGCATGAATCAAGACGTCTCCGTCTGGAATACTGATTTGGGTGTTATGAGTATCGGAGATGCAGACGATAGCAATAGGACGTGTGATTGGCGTAGCTGGAATGGGTTGATGCCAACTGTAAAGCTTCTGTGCGAGAAAAATGCAAGGCTGGGCCCAGAACTTTTGCCATGGTCCGGGTCGCTGTCGGTTAAGTATTTCGTCCAAGGTGGACATGGTGAGAGACTTGAAAGTTGAGACGAGTAGGGGGAAGTGTGTAGATAGTATGGGACAAAGATGTCGATCCCGCAGACATGTGTCAAATACCAGGAACGGCTGCGGATCTCGTACCCACATACTTACCTTGGGTGTCTGCTTTTTTGACCTTGAAGACACAATAACTCTTAAGAGTAAAAAGAAAAAAAAAAAGGAAATCACACTCGGAGTTAAACCGAGGATCTCACCACTAAGCCATGCGAGTTTGAGGAACGTGGACTTTTGTCCACTTCTCTCTGACGTCATAATCCAGGAAAGGAAGAATGTTTACATTTATACCACCCATGTCAAAAAACAGCTTTCAATGTTGATTCTCAAATATCAGGAAAATGAATATACGGATTTTTTTGACAAATGGAGACTTGGTCATAGCGATTAGGTAGAGATTTATGGATTTCTTCATTATAAACAATCCACGGCTAGATAAGACAAAGTATTCAGAGAAGTCTAAATTAAATATGTTCAAAATAGACATATATCACACGTCTAACATCAAAACTTAGTAGACATCCCGGTAGTTCTTAGTAGTATACATAGTTGTGGTAGACAGTGAAACCCCAGGTTGGTTTATCTCTGAGTTGTAAATGTAGTATATAAATTTTGATAGTTAGGGAAGGAATTAGATGAGAAAATCATGAAAAAGCAGGGAGCTGTCATTCATTCTCGGTAGAATAATTTCAGCACCAGAACCCGCATTAACAGAGACACTCTCATAGTGGGTAAAGCACATATGACTGAACTCTGTGTGCGCTGAGGACCATTTTTATTTATTAAAGAAATGACATTATATTTCTTCTTATCATAAACTTCATATGTAGTATACCTAGGCATATATCATAGCATATACATATCCTTTTGAAGGTCTAAATCTCATACAACATACACATACTGTACATCCATGGATAGACTGGAGTTTAATTTAGTGGATCCTGTAACCTTAAACCCCATCTTATGTAATTATGCACGTGATGATAATCTCCCGATAAACAAGGCAGAAACTTGTAATTAATTGCAGGTAACTGGTATCTGTAATTTACTGACCAATGACTTCGACAACTACAAGCTTCCATTCCAACTCACTTTCTTCTCATTTACTTTGCTCAACTTAGCCTCATTATTGTTACTTCTACATCCGTCGACACCATGCCAATTCCACCATGACGTCCCGCGAAGAAACCGTCCTAGCTCCCACCGATCCCTCTATCACTGATGAGAATGATTGGTGGGAGTTCGGCCTGACCGATGTGAAGGTCCTAAAGCCTGGGAAGATGCTATATGCAAATCTACTGGATGCTACCGAGCAGAACCCAGTACAGGTGATTGGTTGCCTAGAGCCACTTCGTGAAGACCAGGAACACTTAGGTGTGTATCGTCGTATCAATGCGTGTTTACCAAGCAGCTTGCTGACCAGTCACTCGCTCACCAGTGCTCAACCCGGACAACCCCCCTAAGCGCATTATTATCGATGAGGTCACACACTATGCCTACGGTCAAACTGAAGATAAGAGCATTGAGCTCTGGGTTGCTGGTAAGGCGGGCTGGTACGACATCATTTCGCCCGCCAAGGGTTTCACACCCACATACAATCGCATGGTCCAGGCTATTGATATGTTGTATTTCCTGGTTGATAAACATCAGCAAGGCAAGAAACAGATCAATCCGTCATTTAGGAGTCTCTGTGAACAAGTGAGTCTTTCGATTCTGGGTTATGTATACAAACCGAGGTCTAATATTCATCTACCCTTAGTACACATACCACACATATGGCTCGTGTGAAACCCGAGAACAGTCAGCTGAGGTCTTTGCGATGCATGCCACCTTCTTGCTTCGCTGCATGATCCAAGGTGATTCGGATGTGGATTGGAAAAAGACAAATGTCTTCGTCCATCTACGTCGCCAATTCAATGTGAATTAGAAAGCACCCTTATTTACGATTGTCTATAGACGTACTGACAAGAATCCTAGGATGACTATAATAGGCTAATGGAGGAGCTTTCGCCCTCTGAGGAAAGTGAAACCGAACCCCAAGACGAACCAGAAGTGGCAACTCCTCGACATCAACCCGCAGCAATCTCAAAGTCACAAGCCGATGCCATCTATCACTTGCTCAAGGACCTCAGAGAAGAAGGTCACTTGGCAAAGCGCCGCCTGCATATCGACCTACTGGGAGAACGCTTGGCAGAACGGTTCTCTTTCAGCAAGGAAGATGCCCAGAAAATTATTGCTATCAGGGCAGATGCCGTGCTGGAAATGATGGACGAAGAAGACTTCAGATGGCCCCGTTATGTCATCCATAGGGAACTCACACATGCATCCACGAAATCCGCCCCTCTGCCAGCTGCACTCTTAACTCCCCTGGATTCGCAGGAAGAATCCAGCGACGACGAACGGTACGGCCGGACTCAGAAGTCTGTACTACGCCCAAAAGTCCACACAGTCTCCAATAAAGTGACCGGCAAACGAAACCGCAATGCCTCCACAAACCAGCAGACAGTCGAATCCAACGACGAAGAAGACCAAGAGGACACGGATGAAATCGATGAAATCGAAACACCCAGCAAAACCCGCGGCCATGAATTAATCAGAGATCCATTCGCAGCCACAAAGCCTCGCACTCGCTCATTCTTAGCAGCTTCGAGCGGTGCCAGCTCCTCTCTTATGAAGAGCCTATTCAAGGACAATATCAAGAAAGACAAGCCCCAGACACCACCCGTATCTTCGTCGCCAACAAGCCAAAAGCTTTCCACCCCAGAGCGGGATCCAACTCCAGATACATCACAGGAAGTTGAAGATATCATCGACGAGATACCTGATACCTGGACATGTCGCATGCCTGGATGCGAGAAGATAATCTCGACCACCGACAGAATTGAGCGCAAGAAGCTTATCGGTGACCATGCCGGCGAGCATGAGTGGGAAACACAGATGAAGGTTGAGTTGATGGAAGCGGAGAAACGCATGCATTCTTCCTTCCCCGTCAACAATCTCATGCAATACGTCATCGACGCACACGTGCTCCAAATGCGCGCTGCATTCCCAGAGTTCTACTCAAGTAAACAAAATGGCACCGCGAACGGCGACCTTCCGGATGAAGAGAGATCCATTCCAGAGACCGAGCAGATCGACGACGAAGATGATGAAGATCAGGAGCTTGATGATCTTGCGAATGGATACGCCTGATCTGGTGAAATTAACGATCGTTATGTGCTACGACTTCGGAAATTTGAAATACGGTTGATCCATCCCTGATATCCCTGGACTTGATTACAAGATACAAGTCAGTGGATAGGACTAGAATACAGTGCCGCGCATTCACAGAGCTCTTCCTACAGTATGTTGCCAACTTCTCATTCGCAGCTGGAATACTGTCTAACTATTTATCGACAGAGATACCCAATATTCCAAGCTTTGCTCATTGCTGTAAGCTAGAAAGGCGGTGTTGAGAAGGATATCTGCGGAACGAATTTGCTGGACACGACCCTAGAGGTTTGATGGAGACCATTGCTGATGATTCTTTCGGATTGGGCTTTTATTTCTTTCCACTTGATACCCCTGCCCAAAGTACTCCGTAGGTAGAACGAAAAGGACCTTTCACATACACTTCCAGTTCCAACTTTAGTAAGAAGAATCAATAACCAGATTAGAATAAAAACTTCTAGAACTCAAGGGAAGAGAACAAAGTGCATTGAATAAAACACCAACACTCTATGCAAAGACATAGAGTGTGTATGCAAGAGGAAAGTCAATAAAAAAAGCGAGCAAAAGGAGAGACAAAAAAAATACTGTCTGTCTGTCTGTACATGTCGAAGAACAGTAGATATTGAGAGAAAGGAAAAAGAAATAGAAAGAGGAGAAGCTCTTTTGACTCGGAGGGGTATACCAAGAACATGCCACATATATCACAACACATACACACCAGATTTGAGAGATAAGAGATAGAGATACAGAGAGGATTGTAGAGATAGGAAATAGATCTCGAAGGAGGTTCAGCAAGATGCGTGTAGGAAAGGGGAAAGGGGGCGAGGCCCAGAAGAGAATGAAAATGGACAGGACTATCGGAATCCTATCCTTTGAGCCGGGATTATTGCTGGTGGGCACTGTGGGCCTTGATGAGAGCTGTAGATGATTAGTTATTTATTCTCGGATTTCGAAGTGCAATGGATACTTACTTTGAAGAGCAGAAGCTTGCCCCTGTCTAGATTCACAAGCACACTGGAGCGTATTTCCATCCAAGAAGTCGAGCAAGATGCTGTTGGGCAATTCCTGCATGTCCTCATCAGGAAGACAAGGAGTGCGGAATTCGCTGAGATGGTAGCGTTTAGTCATGTTTCGGGTGGTGGCATCATTGGTGCCAGGCGTGAGAACGACGTATCCCTCTTCATCAATGCGCATGACCCGACGCTTCCACAGGAGAGTTTCTGGGAACTGGACGTTCACCTCGCCAATGTCAATGGGCTCTGAAGTACGCGAGCTACTAGACCCTGGGGCCTTGCTAGACCCATTTGTGTGAGCGGGAACATACTCTTCCTTCACTGGCGAGCTAAGGGCTCCGATAATGCTGCGGCGAGAGTTGGATGTGATCGATGACATGCGGCGCATGAGTCGCGAGGTGCGAGATGCTTTCTTATCTTCGGGTGTGGGAGAAGCGGATTGAATGCTATCGTCAGTCCTAGAGCGCGAGTTGAGAGAGGGGCGGCTTGCGGGACGGCTCCCAGGGCGGCTGCTGGAGCGAGACGTCGCGCGACTAGATGTAGTAGATGACATAGACATGCTTCGGTCCTGGGGAAGGTTGGAAGGCTCAATAGACGAGACCTGAGGAAGCGGTGCCTCGGGTGTCTCATGCTCCACAGTCAAAGGACTAGCCTGGAGGTTGAGAACATCGGACTCCGAGGGCTCAAGTCCAGAAGACCCGGGAGAGGTATCTGCATCGCGCAAGATGCGGGCCGTCACGGAAATAGAGTTAGCAGGGCGTGTAACATCCACAGACACCCGACGGTCGTGCCGATTCACGCTCGGCACACGGGAAAAGCCATTGGGGATATGAGCAGAATGCATTGTGCTTGCTGGAGCGGTGTCGTGGTTTCCACTGGGCACCGAGATAGATGCGCGTTTGCGAAGGTTCTCGAAAGACGAGGTGGCCGATGGCCCACCCATAGCCGGGCTCGCGCCCGAGGGAGTACCTTCCCGGCTCGAAAACTTTTCAAGCGCTTTGATGCGACTGGAAATTCCAGATGAGACGTTGATCTTCTTGGCCATAAGTACCGGCGTAGCGGGGCCGTTTTCAGAGTGAGAGCTAGAAATGGATCGGCCCACTGCCAGAGCCTGCATACCAGACGATGATCCCATGGAGAATGGGCTTGAGACGGCACGTGAATTCTTCCAGGTGTGATCGGCGGGGTTGGGAGATTTCACAGATACCGGTCTGGCCTCCTGGACAGTAGCTGAGGTTAATTCCTCCATGAATGAATCGTCGGAAAGGAGATTATCGTCGTCCGAGTAATCTGGGGTAGGAACTTGAATAGGTTCTAGACGAACCTTGCGCCTCTGATCCAGGGGAAGAGGCTCGGCTTTCTCCGCAATTGGGTGATCAGGAGTCTGCTCGTCCACTTCGATTGAGACGCGGACAGGGGCGGCTGGGGTTTCCGTGCCAGTGCTCTCTGGGGGGGTAATAGAGGGTGCGGAGGGGAGGGAACCCGCCTGAACGACCTTTTCTGAGATAGGCACCTCAGAAAGCTCGTCAGTTGGCACATGTGCAACTGGGGGAATTTCTATACGTGTTTCAGGGATGCCTGGATCGGGTCGCGGAACGTCCGAAGGCTCATTTTGAAGTGGAACATCAAGATTAAAGGTAGGTGGGGCGAGACTGGGCATTGCGGGGTCCTCGTGCTCAGGGCGTGTTTCATCCTCAGGGGGTGCCTGCAGTGTTTCCACCTCGACAGTCTCTGAAGGTGTAGCAGCGCGATCAGCTGGGATAGCATTGTCGACATTTGTGGTAGAGGATGAACCATCCTCGTCGGCAAGAGGAAGATCGGCGATTGGTTCTGATTTAGCCTCGAGGGGCTCAGAAGGTTCCTCTGGCTTAGGCGTCGCAGCAGACTCAACGATTGATTCGGTGACTGGTTCGGCGACTGATTCGAGGGCAGCTTCAGAATTTCGGTTAACAGGCTCAGGCGCAGGTTCAGAAATGGGCTCAGCAACTGCCTCGGCGACCAGCTCAGGAGCATGTTCAATAATGGGCTTGGGAACAGGCTCAAAGGCGGGTTCGAGAACCGTATCGGAACCAACAGGTTCGAGCGTAGTTTGGGGAGCAGGTTCGGAAATAGGTTCAGCAACTGCATCCACAACGAGCTCAGGAACGGATTCAGTAATGGCCTCAGGAACGGGTTCGGGGGCAAGTTCAGGAGTGGAACCATAAACAGGCTGGAAGGCGGGTTCAAGGGTTGACTTGGGCACAAGCTCAGGGGTAGGCTCAGGAGGCACGGGCGAGTGTTGGTCTTGTCGGATTGTCTCGGCCTCAGAGAGCATCATTTCAGCATCAGGATAATGAATCTGAATGAGATTCTCTTTGTCGTCATCCAATTCCTTGGCAATTTCCTTCACTGGTTTGGCTTCTACTTCCTCGGAGACCTGCTTCTTGTTCGTTTCCTCCGCACGCTTGGCCATATTCTTCCTTCTTTGCTGCAATGCCTTCATTAAACGTTCTTTCTCAGGGGTCAATCCCGAGGAGGTCGACAACGCTCCTAGTGATTTGGCGCCAGGGGAAAGTTGAGGTCTCGAAATAGGAATAGAGGGGGGTGGGACTAGCAAAGGTGGGACTGGTGGGACACGACTAGTGGGCTTATTTGCGAAAGTGCTCCCCTGAGATCGAGGGCGGGGCGCGTCACCGTTTTGCTTCCGCACAGAAGAAGTGCGCATATTTGTTGGCAGGGATGCAACGGGGCGTTGGTCTACATTTCGAGAACTGCCTGCTGTACGGGGCCTTCCGTTGCTATCCACAGACGGACGGGGGCCCAGCTTCACCTTTGGAGTGTACCCCGCGGCCCGTTCCAAATCTCGGAGCGAGGGGCGACTGGATTGAGTTGACAACCGGACATCCTCTGAAGGACGGGGGAATTCATCCAAGATAGCTCGGTACCTGGAGCTGGAGCGAGAGCGATCTGATTTTATGGACTTGGGGGACATTGCAGATTGTGGTTCAATGGGACTTCCTCGAGAGATTGTGGCTCTGGAGCTCGCCCGAGATGGGGGTGGCATAAGATCGATCGATGCCTTTTCGCTCTCTGGTGATGTTGGAGGTAGTTCTGGTTCCACGGGGGCTTCAATGGGAGACGGCACTAGAGTAGCTTCCGACCTGACGCTCCTTGGTTTGAGTCGAGCTTCCGACTGAGGAGATGGGGTTGGTTTTGAATCTTCATCCTTTGTGCCATTTTCCTCGGCATCTTCCGTGATTTCCATCAGCCGGCGGCGGCGCAGAGAGCTCGAAGAAGAGGTAATTGAGGTCGAAGCGGTATGGAGAAGACAAGCGGAGGACAAGGCACTTTCGGTGAGATCGGAGGCTTTGGAGAGAGGGAGAACAGTGTCGTTTGGGGTAAACTTGTCGGTCACGGACTGGAATTGGACATTGCTTCGAGCTGGAACAGATTAGACCAATTTCTTATAGAAAACCGGTTAACATACCGAGTATAAGCCTGGATAACCCCTCTGGCATGTAGCGGATGATCACTTTTCTGCGCCGGTATTGAAGGAAGCCATAGAGCGGCGAGCATTCCTCGTAGCCATCGATGGCATTCCTAATTTCGGGCACCCCGCCGGTGCCTCGTTCATGGAGGGCAACCTCATCTCTTGCAATATAGTGTAGTAGAAACCTGAAATATAGACAGGGGATGTCAGTGACGTTGAAGTTGATATATCTGTAGTGGTTGAAACACCACGAAAGGGGGTTTAACTTACCACCCGCCCGCGTCGGCCAGGGCACTTTGGTAGGCTTCGAGGACGGGGGCAGTATCAAGCCCATTCAAAGACATGGCGTCCACATGGAGAACGGAATTAGGCGCAAAGCCGAAAATGTAAAGAAAGATAGGAGGAAAATAGTGAAGTGGGCTAAAATCGGATATTCTAAAGTTAAGAGCCCAATCAAGTGCAGATTTGTTTCAACAGCGAACTCTCTCAGGGGGGGCCATATATTCTCTTGGCTCCACCTTTTGTTCTTTCTATAAAAATAAAAAAAAGGATTGAAGGGGATATTTTACAGATATACAGAGTACATATAGTTCAATTATTGAAGTCCTTGAATATTTATAAAGTTTTCAATGCACATAGTACATTAGAGTCAATGGGATTGTACATATTAACTAGGGTAAGGAGTTCGAATATTAACATGTACTCCGTAAACATATGAAACACACTAAAATATACAGTTCATGGTTTCAAGATACATAGGAACTCCATAATAATATAGTAATAGATCAATGTATCATTTCAACATATCCCGCTGTTCTCCGCCTCGGCGGCCTCCGAGAAAGTGGGAACTCACATATATCTACTCAGACATCTCTACTTTAATTCAATCCTTTTCCTTCAACTATATACAATGGCAGACCTCCCCCCACCATCGACGATCCCTTCCCTGCCTCAAGAGACCCAACTTCGGGTGCTCGATACCCTCTTCGAACCATCCCCAGAGCTCCACAAACTGATGATCCCTGTGCTGGCCAACCAAACCTTCTCTTCATACACCAACCTTATCGATGCAGTAGGGGGTCGCATGTCTGCACTCTCAGCCCCCAATTCACCTACTGACCGAGATGTCCTCTTTGGTATTTTGGGATCGCATCCACGTCTTGGCCGGGCCCCAGCCAACCCAGAACATTTGAGTGAGCTGAGTAAAAAAGAACAAGCCCAATTGAATGAAGGTGCAGAGGAACAAGCGGAAAAATTACGAGCACTGAATGCGGAATACGAAGAGAAGTTTCCAGGGTTGCGATTTGTGTTGGTCCACGTTTCTTACTTGTCTATACAATACACTGACCTGAGATATATAGTACATTTGTTAATGGCCGTAGTCGCGATGTGATTATGGTCGAAATGCGCCAGCGCATTGACCGGGCCAATGCGGAGAAAGAGATTGAAGAGACCATTCAGGTAATGTTTTCTTATCATTTTGTTTTATTTTTGTATTTTTTTTTATACTGACTTATAGAAGGGAATGTGTGATATTGCAAAGGATCGAGCCAGAAAGCTTCGCAGTAGTATTTAATATTCTATATTCTATATTCTATAGTATACTATATTCTATCTCATTCTATCTATATGATACATTTTATTAAGCAATTAAGCAACAGTAAAAGGGTCCACTCCACCATCGCCCCAAATTGATGTCATCTAGCGCTATCCGGTCTTTGCCGCTTTGCTTTGCTTTTCTTTTCTTTTTTCTATTCTGTGGTCTTTGTGAATAGTGTACATATTGCGCATCTGTATATTCTCGTCTACCACCCCCCATGCGACTGAATACATGGAGGGAAACAATCTCCAACTACCAGTCGCGACGTCCCCCGCCATAACCGATTCGAACCCCCGCGGAACCTCAACATTCCCCGGTAAGTTGGAAAATTGGACGGATTGCAATGAGATTTGAATCTGGTCTGGTCTGGCCTCAATGCGCCAATGGCCCCCCCTATCATGCGCCAAAAAGAACAAAAAGCATATGCTCATGAGAAGATACTGACAGAACTGTCAGGATCGGCCACATCGGATGTCGCGTCGGGCTCGACCCATAGTCTACAAGATGCTCGGAATCCCAGGCGCTCAGCCATTGGTAGCTCTTTACGCGACTCGAACTCAAATACTCCCCTCGAGAAGACCGAGTCAAGTGCTATAGATCCGTTATCGCAGGTAAGCCCTCCCCCGAATTGATCGACACATCCCGCGGCTCTGTCATGTGGTTTGATTTGTGCAACCCACATCGAGATGCATATACGGAAATGCACCCAAGCTGACAGGAGGGCCGTGCCCTTGTAGCACATCATCCAACGCACCAATACCCAAAAGACCATTCCCCTGAAATTACTGGGAAGAGCCTCATATGAAGCAGAGGCCGTGGGCTCCGAGTATAGCCAGTCAGGGAGAAGCCCGACCCGGAAAGATTCATTGCCTACCTCAAAACCTCCTAAAGAGAAGAAGTAAGTTCTTTGCCTTTGCTGTGAGACCAGTTACGCCGACTCTTTGTGTCGCCCAAACTTGTCGGGGGTTTCTTTGCGCCTCCCCCGCATAGTTCACTTGAAAAGATCTATCCCCAAGACTCTCGCAACAATATACCATTTTATTACCAGAGACTGACCTGAGATTTGCTCTTCCCAATTACAGAAAAGGTGTTTCTTTCCTCACCCGAATCATTGGAACCAAGAAAATAGATCAGCCGGTTGAGGCGGAAGATGAAACCTCGGAACCTGAAGCGCACCGCATGTCTATTGACACTTCGCATCCAATTGGATTCATACCTCGACACCCTCCTCCATCAAAATACTTGAAGGTGCGGGCTCATCACAAAAAGGATAAGACCTTCAACCGCGTGTTTCTGGCCCAGGAACTGGAGGGCAGCGGCCCATCGACCAAACCCGCAGATAGACGGATATCAACGTCCTCGGCCTTGCCACAGAATGGCGATTACGTTGGAAAGGCCATCTGGGCACTTACGGTTTCGAAAGATGGTAAATATCTCGCGGCTGCTGGCCAGGACCGGAAGGTTCGAGTATGGGCGGTGATCTCTACACCGGAGGAGCGCGAGGATGCCAATGGGGACGAAGAGGTAACACCCGTAGACGCACAAGATGATTCCGGCCTGAAGGCGCCTGTTTTCCAACCAAACCCCGTTCAGGTGTATGAAGGACACACGGGAAGTATATTGGACCTGAGCTGGAGTAAAGTATGGATACTCAACATTCAACTCGATAGGAAGAGGCTGTGCTAACCTGCGAGCCAGAACAACTTCCTACTCTCCTCGTCAATGGACAAAACAGTGCGACTATGGCATATTTCTCGACCGGAATGTCTTTGCTGTTTTCAACACAGTGATTTTGTGACTTCGATTCAATTCCACCCGCGTGACGATCGCTTTTTCCTTGCTGGATCTCTCGATACCAAACTGCGACTCTGGAGCATCCCAGATAAGAGCGTGGCTTTTGTGACTGCTGTGCCCGATATGATTACTGCGGTGGCATTTACCCCCGATGGCCGATACTCCATTGCCGGATGTTTGAATGGCATGCTTAACATCTATGACACAGAGGGTCTAAAGGTATCAGCCCAGATCCATGTACGATCGGCCCGTGGGCGCAACTCCAAGGGTAGCAAAATCACTGGAATAGATACGATGACTGTACCCAAGGACGATGCTAGGAATGGCGAGAGTGATATCAAGTTACTGGTTACTAGCAACGACTCCCGCATCAGGCTGTATAACTTCTATTCTCGATCATTGGAGGCTAAATTCCGCGGTAACGAGAACACTTGCAGCCAAATTAGAGCTACATTCACCAATGACGGCAAGTACATCATATGTGGAAGTGAGGATCGCAGGGCATACGTGTGGCCAGTTGGATGTGTGCAACGAGATTCCGAAAAGCAGCCTGTGGAGGTATTCGAGACACAGTCTGCGATGGTAACATCTGCAATCATGGCACCGATTCAAACAAAACAGGTCCTGGCGCTATCAGAAGATCCAATCTACGACATCTGCAACCCACCGCCGGTAGCTCTGATGGGTCCAGAGTCAACAGATCTAAGCAAAGAGGACGGGAAACCTCATAAGCGCTCTGCATCAGCACCTCGCCTATCGATCGTCAGCAAAATGGCCCACGAATCACCCTCATACCTCGCGCGATCCAAACATCCAGGCGGAGAGATCATCGTGATAGCCGACTACTCCGGCAAGATCAAAGTCCTTCGACAAGACTGCGCGTATCAAAAACGACGCTACGAAAACTGGGACAACAACTCCACCATCTCACGCCGGATCCTAGGCCGCTCCAACTCCGCACGCCGCAGCGCAGCCTCCTCAATCGGAAAGGAATCCACCCATAAAACCCCATCCGAGCGCATCGTCTCATGGCGAAACTCCGTCGTCCGCCATGGCCGCTCCAGCACTGAAGGCTCCCGCTCCGGCATCCAAACCCGCAGCCCGTCCCCTCAGCACCGCCCAGCAATTGTCAGACTGGCCTCATCTCGACCTTCAAGCCTCGCCCCCCACGAATCACTATCAGTCGTCGCTACATCCCCACCCCCATCACCGCGCCTACCCCGCCCCGACAGCAACGGCACAAATGGCGCGAGCATGGCAAACGGAACCGGCCTTGCAAACCCCTCAACCTCCCAAGCCCAACCCTCAAAACCCGCTTCATCCGTGGACCTCCTAGCCAGCGGTAAAGCACAGGACAACCCGCTCTGGCTACAGGGCGACCGCAGCTACGCGTACTGGAACAAGATCACGAACGATGCGCTAGCCATGCAATCCCGACACTCGAATGACTTTCTCAAACCGGATAGAATCCCGTCGCGCGATCGCGCGAATTCGGGCGCTAGCGTGCTGAGTAGTGACTATACCACATCGACAGGTGATCCAGAGGAGGACGTGCTTAAGTGTGATAATTGTCGCGGGACGAGTTTCCGCAGTGTCAAGGGGAGGGATGGGAAGCAGAAACTTATCTGTTCGGAGTGTCATCGGCCTGTTTCTTGAGTGCATTTACGTGCTATGATCTACGATCTATGATGGGATGTACGATAGATGGCGTTTTACATATTGGGTGTTATGTAGTTATGTCGATATGTTTTGTTTAATGTGTACATTTTATGATACAGTAGTATTCGGAATCAGTTATACCTCCACACTCTTGCGACTTGATCCCCGGAAAATAAGTCGTTCTGGATCACCACCTTCAAGTTTTGGCAGAACTGTTCTGGTAATGATACGTGACTTACCGTTTGGAGAGCAGCTCTTCGGGATATAGATGTTGATTCATGGTTATATAAAGTAGAAAAGTAAAGCAAAACGGCCCTTGCTTGAAACTCCGCCCCGACTGATATCTGTTACAAGAAAGCACGCGTAAATGCTACCAAATATTATCAAAATATCTTAAACGCCTATGGAACCCTTAATAGAATTTTGTATTCGGCGGAGTCCCTCAGCCTGATCATCTCTCTGTATTCATTATTTAGCACTGATCATCGGATTTATTTTCCGTGAAGCAAGTCGCAAGAGTTTGAAGGTATAACTGAATTCGAATACTACTGTACCAGGACTTGTTTCGTGCAATGAGATCAGACTCGTATAGCTGTTTCCTATGCTTCCCTAGGTGTAGATAGACATGTAGTAATTCATCAACTCACCCAATGACTCACTTACTCCAACCCCTCCCTCACATCCTCAACAACCATAACCTTCATCCTCTCCCGATCCCAAAATCCCGCCTCATCAGCCTCAATCATAGCCTTAGCCTCCGGCGTATCCAACGCCTGACAGAATCTTCCAAACCCAGCCTCATCCTCAAATGACATAGTCACCACAGCATCATAGGTCTCGTCGACGCTTCCTGCCAGCAGTATCGGATTAGATCCGTCATGCTTCAGATACGATCGTGTGTGTGAGAGGGGTGCTGCATCGCCACAGAGACCCGCTACCATGCGCATGTGCTGCTCGTAGCGGGATTTGAATTCCTCGTGTGTGATATTTGATTTGCGTGGTGCGAAGACCATTATGCGGTATACCATCGTGTTGGTTTAGGGTTTGTAAGTGGTTATGAGAAGTTAGGAGTCTGGTAAAGAAGGCTTCTACCAGCAACGGAGGTAGGTAGTTATATATACAATAACGGCTATAGTAAGATCTGGGAAGATTCTTGTAGCTTCTAGAGCCCCCTTGTAGATTCTAGTATGTTCCTGGTTTCCTGTAGCTTCTTGTAGCTTCTAGGGCTTTCGTGGGTAAGCTGACATGATTTGGAGGGACCGTGTGTAGCTGATTTCCTTAACTGGTAATGATGAACGGATACAATCAGCAGATCATCTAAGTTATGGGTACTGGTATTATCTGATTAGTGTTTCTGGGACTGCTTTTGATTATTCGGGCAAGTATACTAGCTTGGGTAGACGAGAAAAAAAACTCAGTCATACCCTAGAGTCGCAAGCTTATCAGCGATATGTATGGCTTAGTAGAGAATGTTCAGTATATCTGGCATACACAAGTATCTTCCATTATTACCTTGGATATACTCATTCCATACATTGTGCATCACTCGAAACTGCCCGAGAAACGAGGTAGCTGGACACTGCTCCGGCAAAGCTAGCTTCTGGATGGTCTTTGACAACCCGAATCAAGCATGAACTCTCCAACACCCCCCAAGTTAGCTTGTAGCACAATACCAGTCATTTCATACCTCATCTTTTATCGGTTTATTCATAAGAGAACAATCTGGATCCTTTCTCTTGCTTGTTACCACATCAGAAAGACGCATCGATACTCGAAAGTGCCAGTTTGAAAGGCCCATGAATGGGATAGTCCAGAATTTGTATTCAGGTGGTACCTCCTCCGTGTAGTTGATATACTTCGCATTTTCTTCCAATAAGCTCACCAACACTGTAGGCACAACAGGCACAGCTTCCAGAATATCGACGAGTCTGTTAGCTTTATCTTCTAGTTGCATCATTTGGTCGATATCGTTGCGGGAGGAGAGTATAATGTTGACGAATATCTCTTTCCCTTTAATTTTATCGTGTGGGAAGTTGGTAAGATGTTTTTGGACAGCTTTGATATTCTCCAGTCCCCGCCATTTTGCGGGCATTCGTTTGGAGATCAAACGGACGTATAGCCACTTTAGGCTCTTAGTGCTGGAAATTCGAATTTCGTGTTTCATTCCGCTGTAGACGTGCGAGGATATCTCTTGGTAGAGGTGGCTGTTGCAGCGTAGGATGGATAAAATGTGGGGGGCTGCGTGGATGTCGTAGAATAGGTTTTCCCATATCATTAAACGGATTTCGAGGGGTAGTTTTGCGAAATTTCCTAGTTGGGTAGAGCCTGGGGGTTGAGGATATTTGTGTTCGCTGGTACGATTCATGGTGTTTTGGTGAAGAACACGATAGTTATGAATAGGATTGATGAAGTAGTGGAATAGAACTCAGTCTACATACTATTTCAAATGTTACTTATGATCAAGCTGTGAGTCGTATACTCAAAAAAGTTGCGAACCTTATGAACCTTATGAGTTTCTATATTTGGCGAATATATCATAGGATATTATAGATGCACTAACATTTCGATTACGTTGTGTATAACTACATGTATAAATGAATGTATTTGCTGCTGCTATTGAATCATAGGGTTTTGTCACCCTACCCTGAGGGATGTACTTGGAGGTAAGATCAAAGCAATTAGTTCTTTTCAACGCGATTGATATTTTACACGAAATCCGACATAACTACAGCTGTGCCCTGGTTCATCTTAATCTAGATGTGCTAGGCGAATCTTATAGTAAAGTCAATGACTTCCATCGCCTGGAATGTTTGAGTCGGGTCTCATTCACTGTATCAACTTCCCAAAAAGGTCACACCCAACCTCAAAGAAGAACATAGGTAGCCATTTCTGGCCAATTTACGATCAACCACGTATTAAAATTGGTAGTAGATGTGATAGAGACTTATTCCCCTCATCTGCTAATCCTATAAAGCCAAGAATAAATAACAACAGTTCGTTGTTCTATAGTCGGCCATGCCAAGACATGGAAAAAGCCGCCAGCACACTGATAACACCTCCACACTCTCTCCATCCAACTCTCCCGCCAACCAATTCTTCTCTCAAGCCTCAAAATCTAGCGGATATCCCCCTTTGATCCGCCATATTTAATTCTGCGCATTCCCCGTGACCCCCCACAACCTCATCCCACCTCACCTCTCAACCCACACGAGCTCTCCTCGCCACTCCAAAATGCCCTACCTCCCCACCTCCCAGGCCTACCTGGAACAGTCCGCGCAGTTACTACAAGCGTACCCAGACACAGTAAGCAGAAGCTCATATCCCAACGACACACAATCTTCCACACCGCATCCCCAGCGGACCACAACCAATACCTCAAACCCCAAATCCAAGCATAAACTAACAACCCCAGACTCGCATCGTAACAAAATACTCCTTCCCCACAACCCGCAAAGGCAACATAACCCGCTCGCAAAAATCACAAGTGCGGAAAGACGCCAAAGCCACCGCCGGTCAATCCAGCACACCTGCCCAACCATCCACCGCAATCGCAACCCTGACTTTGAAAACATTTAACCCAACAACCGGAATCTGTCTTCACTACCGCACAAACAAGCTACAGGAAGTCGGACGTCTGATTACCACTCTGGGCAAGCTGGCTGCCGGTGCTGATGTAGCGGGATTGGGGTTATCGGCTGCTGCGCCAGCTGCGGATGTGGAGATGGTTGATGCACCTGCTGAGGAGACGCCTGTTGCTGGTAAGACGTCTGGACAGGGACAGAGTGGGAAGAAGACGAAGAAGAAGGGAAAGCGGTAAATCAATTGGGTTGGAATTCATTTGCTTTATGCTTTTCGGCTTGTGATGCATTCATAGATGTGAGGTATTACGGGAATGAGATACCAGATACCGTCGAGTTCAGGCTATGCTAATCCAACGATTAAATGGAGTTTCAAGAGTTTGAAGTATTGCGTAAGGATGAGATTGGTCAATTGATATATTCAAAGGCATCATTGTTCTCTACAAACAGACATATGCAGAGACACATTGAATATGATTTAAAGATCTAGATACAGAGAATTTGCCATCCATGGACATAATAGTCCAGGATGGGACAAGAAAAAAGAAAGACAAGCAAAAAACGCCATTCCCATGCGAGCCATCGAACGGAAATTGCATCAATCAATAAAACAGAATAAGGAAACGACATAATATCACGTGAAAGGGGAGAGGGTATAAAACAACACAAGAGGGAAGAGAGAAGGACGTCATCTAGAAGTCCTCATCGAAGTTGAGACCTTCGCTTACGACCTTCTCGCCCTCAGCGTTGACCTCCTGCTTGGTGCTGGCCATGACACCGGCCTTCTGGTAGTCACCGACACGCTTCTCGAAGAAGTTGGTCTTGCCAGCCAGGGAGATGGACTCCATGAAGTCGAAGGGGTTGGTAGCGTTGTAGTACTTCTTGTTGCCGAGGGCCACCAGCAGGCGGTCAGCGACGAACTCAATGTACTCGCACATCAGCTTGGAGTTCATGCCAAGAAGACCGCAGGGAAGAGCGTCAGTCAGGAACTCCTGCTCGATGCCGACGGCCTCGACAATGATGTCCTGAACGATCTTGGGGTCGGGGCGGTGGTTCATGTGGGAGAAGAGCAGGCAAGCGAAGTCAGTGTGGAGACCCTCGTCACGAGAGATGAGCTCGTTGGAGAAAGTGAGACCGGGCATCAAGCCACGCTTCTTCAGCCAGAAGATGGAGGCGAATGAGCCGGAGAAGAAGATACCCTCAACAGCGGCGAAGGCAACCAGACGCGAAGCGAAGGTTGACTCGCGGTCGTTGATCCAGCGGAGGGCCCAGTTGGCCTTCTTAGTAATACAGGGAACTAAATGCCAGGTTAGACAATAGAACAAAAAATTCAATGGGAGAAGCACTTACTAGTGTCAATGGCATCAAAGAGGTAGGTGCGCTGCTTGGGCTCCTTGATGTAGGTGTCGATGAGCAAAGAGTAGGTCTCGGAGTGGATGTTCTCCATCATGATCTGGAAGCCGTAGAAGCAACGGGCCTCGGGAATCTGAACCTCTGAACTGAAACGCTCGACAAGGTTCTCGTTGACAATACCGTCGGAGGCGGCGAAGAAGGCCAGAACGTGGGAGATGAAGTAACGCTCATCATCGTTCAGGCGGTTGTGCCAGTCGTGAAGATCCTTGGAGAGATCAATCTCCTCGGCGGTCCAGAAAGAAGCTTCGGCCTTCTTGTACATTTGCCAGATCTGTTGCAATGAGGGCTATGATTAGCTTCGATGTTCATGATGGGAAAATATCATTGACGATATCCACTTTACGCGTGAAACGCGTCGACGACGTGACTTACCTCGTGGTACTTGATAGGGAACATGACGAAACGGTGGGGGTTCTCCTGAAGGAGGGGCTCTTGAGCTTCCATCTCCTTGATGCTAAGAGGCTTGGTCGCGAGAGCCTTCTCGGTGGGCTTCTCGATGGAGGCGTCGACGGGCTTGAGAGACGCAGGCGCGTTCTCCTTGCCAACCGACTGGAAGTCGAGCTTCTTGATAAGTGAATCACTCATCTTGAGGTTCTCGAGGGAGGAAGCAGCCTAAGGAAGAATGAATGTTAGCTTGAACGAAGTTCACGACGCGTCTGACGCGAAGAGGCAAGAGGCGAGAAGCGTGACATCACGAACCTGTTTCGAGGGAGTGACTTGGGCGGCCATTGGAACAAGTATGTGAGGAATATAATATCACAGAAACAATGTGAACAACAGCAAGTAAGAATGATACTGAAGCTTTGAGAGTGGGATGGGAAATTTGGAGTTGAACGAGGGAAGAGAAAGTCGATTAAGTACTGCCGATTTCTCTTTAGCGCGACGTGCTAAGTCACGTCGCACGTGACTGCGCGCCCTGATTAGGTAACATTCGGCGCGTCAACCTTAGTTTTTCCCAGCCCTCCTTTCCTATTTGGGCGACAATTTCTCATGCCACTTGGCTCCCAGCAACATCCGAAAGGATACTTCCTTGGCTCCATTGCAGCTCCGTTGCTCCATTGATCCATTCCAGCTCCATTCTTGTGCATGTCAATATAGATGTGCTCCGTAGATTTAGATTCCGATCTTATCTGCATCTGTATACATGTACTTCTCGAATCTTTTGATACTTTACTATAATACATAAGGAATAACCAATATCTAATGCAACAATTGCCACGGCCATAAAGCCTATAATCTAAGACATCAACAATTTCCACGCGTCTCCAATTTTCCGTCTCCACTATTGATCATGATCAGATAAGCCTGATAATCCACAAAAACGCGCGACGCGACGAGAAAAATAATCCGGATTTACGGATCTTATTGGTTTTTGTTATTGGTCTAGATCTAGGCATTAGCATCTCATTCGCCAATTTATGGTTCTCTTTCATGCAAGGGCTCAGCTCCCCACACGCGTCCATTCTGTACGTATGCTGTACTTCATATTCCGTACTCCGTACTCCGTACATGTATGTTGGGCCTTGCTAGGTACATCTTAAGTTCGGCATCTGTAATCCGTAGGGCTTCAAGAGAAACATGTGGCTCCTGTCAAGTCTTAGGAATGAAGGAGCTTCTACCTCGAACATACGCTTTGCTACAAAGGGAAGGTTCTGGGAGTGGATCATCGATCATCTTTGTTGCGTCACGCCTAGGCAGCCACACGGTATCTCTTAACGTTAGGGGCCTTTGTTTAGCCGTTTTATGCATTGAGTTGCATTCGGATATACGGCCTACTCCACACAAAGACAAAGGTCGTTTACATAATATACGGTGCATTGACACTATTCCCAAGGGTTTCATGCAATGTGGCGAGTAATCCCTTGCAAGTGCTCATCGACATATCCAAGTTTGAGCTCTCGGTGCACTGGCAACCACCACATACTTCTGAGCTAGTGGACTAGTAGTGGGATGTAGTAGGGGGGTACCTTGCATCACCACGTGATAGCGCGTTCTCGTGTTTTGCAAGCTGTGTCCGGGAAACCGATTGTTAAGTTGAATAATGTCAAGGCATACACCAGAAATATTTCCAAAGCTTGCGATATATGAACAATATGTACAGACTCTCGAATTTTGAAATAACAGTTTACTCTACCAAACGCCAAATATATGCCCAGTTAGAAGCAATTGTGTGGCACAAAAGAAACCCCAGCCAGGCAATGCAGATACTGGTAATGGATCTTGGAATAAGAAAGATCCCTTCAAATATATACGAGTTGCTTAAATTCCCTCACGGAATGAGTCGGGCAGGATCCGGTCCTCGACACGGCGCATCAGCTTGTTAGTCTGCTCAGCCAGACTGAGAGTCAAGATCTAGAGGCGGGGTTAGTCCACGAATGATAAAGCAAGGTTCAACTCCTGTCACTTACGGTGTGGGGAAGAATGCGGGCAAGATGAGCGAAGAAGCCCTTATAGATAGCAAGGGGACCCTCGGTGCGGATAGTCTTGAGCAAGCAATCCAATACACCACCATACAGGTTGCCTGTCTGGTTGTACATACGAGCCATGATTGTGTCTAGAGAAAAGACAGTCAGCGAAGAACATATAGCCTATGTTCGAGATACCATACCAGGCGGGTGCATGAAGCAGCACACAACGAAGCCAGAAGCTGCGCTACTAGCCAGATGCAAAGCGGGACCCTCCTCCATACCCAGGTGGCGGGTCAGACGGCGCTTGGCAAAGAAGTATGTGGGGAGCTGCACGGCACTACCGAAACTAGTACGGATCATAGCGGCACCGACACCACGATAGATACCCTTGATGCCTTCGCCCTTGTAAATCTTGCTAAGGCCGTCAAAGGAGTTTTTATATGTGTGCTGGGTGCCGACGGGGAGGAACGGTGAGTAGGACTGGAGACGGGTTTTCACAAGGAAGAAAGGCGACCCCGCCGCGGCACCAATGACACCTGAAGCAGCTCCTGCTACAACATTGGCAGCGAGGGATTGGACCTTGGGGTCATTGTAAACGGCAGTTGTGAGGGTCGAGCGGATAGGTTCGTAGAAGCCCAGACGGCAGCCGTTAAGCAAGACCTGGTAAATATACTACATGACTCGGATGTTAGCTTGGCCTTTATATGCAATTTCAGGGTACATCACATACTGCAGATCCAATACCCCTGAACAAACCCCGAGGTCCTTCATTCTGCAAAATGACTTTGATGCCGTGCAGTGGCCCCTTGTACAACTTCACTGCCTGGTTTTTGGTCTGCAATTCACCCTGCAATTGAAGCCTTATAGCCAATAATAGCCATTAGCATTATGGTAGGATACCTGGAGTATTAGAAAACCAACCGGATCTTGACCGTCTCGAAACTATGGGTGACGGTGACTGCACCGCATGCTGCAATGCCACCTGCAATGAACGCGCTGTTCAACCATAATTGCTGTTAGCGCAGGCCTTGTACACCCTCCCGCGCCTTGGTATAACATACCCTCCAGTAGTAGCCATGGACTCTTATATGTGATCTTGTGACTGTGCGTGTGCTCAGGTGTGTCGGTTAGCGGAGGAAGATCGGACCCGCAGGATTGAAATGAGTGCGGCCAGAAGCGGAGATTCTGTTTGATATGTGCAATTTCTTGAGGCTATGCAACCAGGTCACAGCTTAAGAAATGCGAAGAAGGAACGAATGCACAAATTTTCACACAGGTCTAGATATTGAAGAAGTCAAGTTAGTACGTCCGAGATAACCGCGAGCATGAACCTTGGAAAGCTTACATGCGGCGAAGTGAACTCGGGTCAACGCTCATTGGTCAATTGGGCCTGGCACCTCCGGCGTCGGCCCCGGGGTTTTTATGTCAGCTGAGGCGGTGAGGCGCGCAAAAAAGCCCAATCGCGGAGCTTCACCTCGGAGCTTATCATTTCTATTGTCCTAGCTCTATCCTCTTTCTCACAGTCTGTTCGCTTTGTTATTTGAAATTTGCAATTTCCTACAATTTAAAATATTACTATCTCACTTCATCGGTCAATCATATCGCCATGACCGAAGGCCAATCAACTCCTCAGCAGGGTCCGGCCGCCGCCCAAGCTCCCCTCAAGTCGCAGAAAATCACGGATATTATTGAGACTTTCCGACCATCCAAGGTAGGTTCAAGTGCACATTGAATTTATGGCGCCATTTTAATAACGCCTATCTACAGGGATTCTACCCTTGTAAAAAGGACCCGTCCAAATACGTGACCTCTCTGGACTTTGACGACCAGGGCGACGTTCTGATCGGCGCCGGCAACGATGACAGTATGCATGTTTATGATGTGAAGGAGGGAAAATTTAACAAGTCCGTTGCCAGCAAGAAGTACGGTGTTCATCTTGCTAGATTCACCCATCACTCTCGGCAGGTCCTCCATGCGAGTACCAAGATTGATAGTATGTGACTGAAATGAATGGCCTTGCTTTTAGCCACCTAGCTCACCATTTACAGATAATTTGCGGTTACTGGACCTTCACAATGAGGGATACATACGATATTTCACCGGCAATAATGACCAAGTAACTTGCCTAGCTCAATCCCCCGCAAGCGACGCCTTCATGTCCTGCTCTAAGGATGACACCGTGACGTTGTGGGACCTGAATTCGAGAAATCCGCAGGGCAAACTCAACCTTGCGACACCGTACCTTGCTGCCTTTGATCCTTCGGGTTCGGTCATTGCAATCGCGTCTCAATCCACAGCTGCAGTCCTTCTTTACGACTTCCGCAACTTTGATAAGTCGCCTTTCTCCACCTTCGACCTTGCCCCATATGAGGAGAGATTCACACCGTCAACGCGGGGACGTGGATGGACTCGATTGGAGTTCTCCAACGATGGAAAATATCTAATGGTGGGAACAGACTACCATGGTCACTTTGTTCTAGATGCCTTCGATGGCACCCTCAAGGCCTTCTTGGCCGGGAAGAGTGGACCGTCTGGTCGTGCTGCACCAGTGTCCACGACTGGCAAGCCTCTCGGACAAGGCGACGCTTGTTTTAGTCCCGATGGTCGATACGTTATTGGAGGTAATGGTGACCAGCACGGTATGCTCGTGTGGGACTTGGGACAGATCGGCGGGGGAGACCTCACACTGCAGCCCTCAGCCAGGTTGCCTGCTCCAAGCTGCGCGTCCATGGTAGAGTACAACCCGCGTTATAACATGATCGCCAGTGCCGACAAGGAAATTATCTTCTATGTCCCCGACGACCACGGCAAATCCTCAGAGAAGTAAATCAAATCTGATGACACGATGGAAAGGACCAGATCTCCGATTTTCTCTCAAACTCTCGCTCAATCACTGTCTACAAATACACTACATGACTGTGCCCTGGATAACCATAGCGCCGCGTGCACAAGTTGTCAAGGTTATGAAAATCGCTTTCTATTCCGCGTCTAGTAGATGGCCGACCCTCTATGCTTATGCTTTTCGATCTTTGTCTTTGCCCACCAAACTTCGTGCTGTGTCACAGATCCAAACGTCAGGGCCTTGTAGGTCATCATCGCCCTTCCTGTTGTCCTCGACGGTGACTTCGATTTGCTTGTCGATTGTGCGATTGCTGGAAATGGTCGTCAACCCGGTGACCCAACCGTACAAAAACACGCTATGATTGATATCCGACAGGCCTTCCCCGACGTCATGTACCACTGGATGAAGGTTACCCTGTGCTTTTGCCGCATCGATCACTTGCTGGGCATCAACAACTTTGATGGGGAGTTTCCAATCGGTGGGCACCTGATAATCAGACAATTCCTGGAATTTCTGGAGAATAGCCTCACGACTGAGTTGTTCGTATGGTGGATCTCCCAGCAACATGTGAGTCCGGCTCTTCTCTGTTTCTGTTCCAATGGTCTCGACAATTTCCCGGAAGCGCACTGCAGCCTCTGTGGTGGATACAAGCTCACGACCATCCATAGCCGGCCAGAGTTCGGAAGTGAGCAGTGGTTTTTCCTGCTCAACTTCGATTTGTCGAACGATGGCTCTATGGAAATGGGGGGATACCGGGATGTCTTTGATGTGAGACAAGTCAGATACCAAGGCAAGGAGCAAAGTGCAGTCGACATTCAGGGTCGAAGTGAAGTTTTTGAACGGCTGAGGCAGGAGATGGGCTAGCCCGCTGGGAGTTTCTGCTGGCAGACTTCCCTGGCAGTCAACCCGAATACCATAGCTCCGCATTTCGTTCAAAACAGCGTCAATTTCAGGAACACTTCCCTCTTCAATCTTAGGTATAACAACCCGTAGCCGAGGATGTCTATATCTAACGCGCGTAGCATCAGAGGCTTTCCTTAGATCCCGGGCCAGCTTAATGAGCTCCAACTCATCATCGTCATCCCCATCATCATCATCAAAGTTCTGTAAAATAGTCCTCCCTTCACCCCCGTCATCAGACCACTCATCCTCATCACTATCACCCTCCCATCCCTTCTTCGCCATTTCGAACAAAAGCCGATTCTCAGAGATAGTAGACACCTTTACCCACTCCTCCCCATCATCAGCCACAATATCCACAAACACACTCTTGCGCTTGTCTTTGTTAGGCTGCTTCTCCTGCGCATCACCACCTTTTCCCTTCCCCTTCCCACCCTTCCTCTCCGTCACCTTCGTCTCCCCATCCCAGTAAAACCTCCTACCCAGTGCAACCAGCCCAGAACAAGACCCACTTGCAATCCTCCAGACAGCCTGATAAAACGGCAAATTCGACGAGCGCAGCGCATGCACCAACCGCATTTCCATCTCAGGATCACCGGCTTGTTCCGTTACCCCGTCTTCCACCCTTGTTTCTGCTCCAGGATTCGTCCCTCCAATTGCCTCCTCAATCTGCCGTCCCAGCTTCTCCAGCATCTTCAGCTCGGAGAGTACGCTAGAGCGGAATTGGCGCACCTCGACGAGCTGTGGATTCCGTAATGTGCACACGAGCAGCGATTGGTAGGCGTCGATCTGGGAGAGTAGGTCGTTACATTCTTGTTTCAGTTGGGCTGAGAGTGTTGTGCTTGTTCTAGGACTCGGTTCTGTGGATTGGGGTTCTTGCTTCGCGGTAGCTGTGCTTGTGTTGTCATTGTCGCTCTCTTTGTCGGAAGTGGAGGAGGGGTTTGCAGGGCTGTGGGGATCCATATCTGGTGCCATTGTGCATTGTTAGACACCGGTTGTATGCATGTGACACCTGGGGATGGTGATACTGCTTCGTATAAGCAGGATAGTGTGTCCTAGGGTTGGGTAAATATGCGGTGAAAGTTGGAGTTATGTTTTTGCGGGGCAGGTGCGATAAGCTTTATCGGGCTATCGAGTCATAATAATTCAGGGTCCTTTCAGCATGGGAGTATTAATTTGCAAGGTAGGAATGAAACTATTTATATGTGAGGACAAATGAAACTAGCGCTATGAGGCTCTGTATGACTCAAAATCGTTTAGGGCTAAAGCTCCACCCGTGGACTTTTGATGGAATCCTATGGATGTTTTTGTATACTTGAAATTGTATACTTCAAACGTTATATTTCAGTTGATGTCTCGAGGAAACAGATGGGGATGCCATGTGGTATGTATCCTTTTATAACATCAAGTTAACAAAAAACACTAAGGAAGACGCCCTAAAAATGTTTCGGCCAATTCTCTATATAACAATTCGAGTATCAACACAATCACATCTCAAGTAGTCTAACAATTGGATAGTGATCGACAAAACTCTCTTCGTCCTTTCTCTGGCTAACCTTAATCTTCACAAACTCATTCATTTCTTGCTGTTGTTCTTGGTCCAAAAGCTGTATACGGTCATCAAGAGAAGTAAAGGTCCCATAATACCGATGGTCGATGAATGTCCAATAGATTTTATCGAACATGGAGTTGTATCTTGCTGCTAAGCAGAACCAAAATAACCCAGTCTCCATAGAGTCTCGCATCCGTGGCGATAGGCGCTGTGACTCGGAAAGTAGTTGTTGTTCTATCAACTTACTTTCATGCTCGCCTTGACTTCCAAAAAGGCACGAAGCCTGGGGGAATACCGAGCCAGAAACAGATTGAGAGCACCCTCCCAGTCCTCCGGGCTTTGCAACAAGAGCCACCAAGGAGCTACCCATGTAAACTCAGCAGGGGTAGCATATGTGAACTCCCATTCAATAACCCCCGAGACACGGGAAGTATCGGGATCGACAAAGACGTTTGAAGGACGAAAGTCATCACAATATAGCCGAAATGGTTCTCGGCGATGCTTGGTGCATAGTTTCTTTGTGATATCCAGGAACAAACAACGAGCGATGAATTTCCTTCGGCAATCCTCCTCGCCACTAACAGCATCTCATTCCTGTAATCGTAGATGGAGGAGATGTTGCATAGCAAGGGCTTTGAAGTAGTCCGTGGCTGACTTGAAGGTGTGCAAGGGGAAAACATGTTCTGGTAAATTTGCAGACACCATTAACTCATTCATGTTGAAAGTGGGGGGTCGTCTAGCGACAAATCAACCCGTCTTGGTTTCCTCCAGCGCACCAATAGAATCAAATTCAAGTCTGGACAACTCGAGGATAAACACGGCCATTTTGCGATAAGCGTGCTTCAAGCTCCGATCGCTTAGTTGAGGGTTCAGGACTGGCCTTCCTTTTGAAGAAGGATCTTTGAGGAGTTGTGATAATGGTACTCCTTCAAGGAATGACATAACAATGTAAGAGCCAGCCCAGCAGATACCGGAGCCGAACACTTGTGGATCAGGTATCAGAGTATTCTTGCGTATGTACTTCATTATTGCAACTTCAATTTGGACTTTCTCCCTGCGGAGAATAGCCCCTCCAACGGCAGCGAAACGAACAATGACATCCGGTCCATCATCATATCTGACTCGATAGCATATATTGAAAGCACCACTTTTTTATAGACATGCAGATACGGTTTCACCAGGTCGATGCTGCTTGGCAAGCTGCATAGACAAAATTTCTGGGCTCCGGCTCAACAAAAGCTTCAACCAAGCAGCAACCTTCTATTCTTGTTTCTTTTCAGCACGATGATCAAAATTCATAGTTACCTGTGATTGCAAGATAAGAATGATGTTAGGAAATGATCAAAGGATTGGGTACATCTACCTGTAAAGGTTGCAAAGCAGTACAAACCCCCCTTTTATGTTTGGGATTTGGATTGGACGTGTCAGCCACAAATAGCCTGTGGCTATCAAGAATCGACTCTTTGCTTACATAGTAGTTTGCAATGTACGAGAAAAATTGGTATCTTCTATGTAAAATAGCGAGCTACAAGAGCTAGGTAGATTTGAATCTTCCATGTAGATGTATTCGGACTTGTGATTAGCTTCGAGAGATGTCGTGGGGAATGATTGCAGCTAAGCAACACGTATAAGCCAATAATATAAAAAGCGAGCCAGGAACTAAGTATTCAACATAAGTGTGAAGGAAAGACCAACGCCATGACATGCTTGCATCCTTGCCCTGGAGGCAGGTTGTACATTGAATAAAATGACAACCCCACCAATTTCCCAGATGCCTAGTCCTGATCGGCTTTTACGCTAACCAGGAACAGCATCAGTATTAAAAGAAAGAGGATATCCAATCTAATCCTTGTCTTTGCTGGTGAGTCTCTGTCTCTCACTTGAATTGCGAGGTGACTCTTCATCATCGGACCATCTCTCACCATCCTCTTCACCGACTGCGAATATTGTCTCTTCCTCGATTGACTCGCGGTTGTGGGGGGCTGAGGAGGAGAAGGGCTTGGGGGGAACTGGGGAGAGATCACGACGGCCCTCAGCGGCCGAGCTGCCAGGATAATCTGGGGGAGCATCATAGGCATCTTCTTCATCCAAACCACTGCCGAATGATCGAATCTCGAATCCATCGTCATCTTGAGCAAGCTGTAAGAAACATTAGTACCCTGATTTCGCTCGTAGTTATTTAGGGAAGAGTTGCATACCTCATCACTCATGGCGAAGCGGCGGTTGTTGACAGTTGGTCGCCACAGATAAGCCACGAATCCGATATCGAACAGGTAGACCAAGTTGAGCCAGCCATCAAGAACGAACCATCTGGCCTTCCAGTGCTCGGGCACAAAGCTGGCGTCACTGCGCCCAGCGAAAGCGAATGAGTTGATGAAGAAGAAACCGAAAATCACAATGATGCTACCAAGGATACACCACCACAACTTCTTGTACATCATAGCCTTTGTCTTTTGCTTTCTGTCGATAAGATCCTTCATAGTCGCGTTCAGAGAATTCAGGGTCCACACGTAGAAAGCTGTCAAGGTTCCGGCCAGGGGCAGAACAATCAGAAGCACCAGAGGACCGGCACTATCAGGGGTGATTGAAAGACTGGCAACCGAGTAGACGACGGCGAACAAGAAGTGACCAATGGCCAGGATGCGAACAAAGATCATGGTTCGGCCTAAAGAATGCTTGACCACGCCGTAACCCATGCAGACAATTAGTAGGAGGAAGAAAGAGAAAGCATTTCTGCCCGCGTTGAGTACTGCTACAATGACCATGAGTGCCTTTGCGCCGCCGTTGAGACCATGGCGGTTTTGGTATTCTAGAAAAGTCAGATGAAGTTAAGTACGGAACGGATTGTTGTTCCTTACCGTAGAATCCCCAAGTCATCAACTGCTCGACGATCAAGAATACTATAATCGCAGTGATATAGTTTTGGACGGGTACTATCTAGTGTTAGCATGGCCTGGGTGGAACAAGGGAACTCAACGTACAAATGTCATAACGGTTCTGCACGTAAAGGAAGCCCCAGAAGCTAAAATTCCATGTAAGCATATATTCCACAAATTACCCGGTTTATCGATTCTGCGAGTCACATACACTCCAATAACAGCGTACACGATCGTCAAGGCCCCATAAAATGGAAGCTTTGCAATTTGTGCAGCGGGAAGCTCGCCGTATGAGTTTCGGAAGGTAACCACTCCTTTGTAGTCTTCGCCGGAGTATGCATAGGTGCTCACGCAGTAGAATCCAGTCTTTCTGACGGGGTACTTGACGGCATCGGGGTTGTTTAGGTGGATTGCTTTCGAGATGATAGGGCTTGAGGAGACGTCGGTGGCATTGCTGGTGAGAACAAAAGAGCCGAGCTGTTCTTGAGTGCAGATTTTTGCCTCAACATTGGAGGGATCGCAAATTGTTTCTTTGACCTAAATCCAATATTTAGCCGCGTCTGGTTATTCCCCGGATTTGACAGGCATACCTCAGCATCGCCAGACCGGTACTGGCCAATCAATCCCTCGTCGGACCATTCAAAGATTACCAAACTAGCCAAAGGATCACTATCCTTGACTTCCGACTTGGTAAATTTCACCAAAATGAAGGGGTCAACATCCCCTCCCCAAGCTTTGCGACTGTACATCCCTGAGCATCGTTGTCGATGCGCATCGTCGGATTTCTGCAGAACAACGTTAGCTCCTGACAATCACTCTTTACATGGAGCGTATGAACATACCAGTTCAGCATCATTAGCAAGCGCATGGCTTGCCAATAGGGCTGTCAGGCCCAAGGTCTGGAGCCAGCCCTTCATGGCGACCGTAGAGTTGAAGCGAGACTAGGCTCCGGGATTCGGGATCAGGTCTTTAAGACCACACAGCATCAAAGAACTGATATGAAAGAAGAAAGATAGGCGAATACGGTAAAGTGTGTTGTGTTGTAAAATTGTAAGGCTAAGGTGTTCTTCTTTAACCTGATGGCCCCCAAACCGGGGTAGCCGCGCGTGGCCATTATCTAAGCGGGCACCGCCACTATTTTTTAGTTTCCAACTCCGGTCGACTTTTTTTCGAGGTCCAGTTCTGCCAGGCTCAATAGTCAATACTTTATACGGTCATCATGCCAGCAAAGGAATTGAATAAACCATGCATGGAATGCAAGGATGCAGAATTCGAGCTCACTGTCCGCAAGAGGCAGCTTTGCAGGTATGTGACAAGTCGACAATCTACAACCCCTCTAGCTCATAGTTTCTGACTCTTTCTTTCCTAGCTTATGCTTTAGGCGCTTTATAGCACACAAGGTGCAGTCGCGCTTGAGTGTCTACAGAGCTTTCGGCCTAGATGGCCCCAAACACCAGTTACTTCTCCCTGCCTCCCTTGGTGTTTCCTCCTCGGTCTTGTTGCACATATTGAATTCCGATCGAGAGCACCGGCTGAGCAATGGACGCCCTCTGGGGTACGACTTTAAAATTTTGGTCATCGAACCTTCAACTATTGCGGCTACAGGCGTTTCCTTTGATCAAAACTACGAAGCTCTTCGAAAACATGTACCCGCGCACAATATTACTCGGCTACCTTTCCATAGCATCTTCGACTATGTCCCGGAGGTGAAGGAGATTATGCAGGAATATGCAGGATCAAAATTCATAGACGACAGTACTCTATCGAATGAAGAGCGCTTAGCTACCTTCCGTGCATCAATCTCCACCTCCACTTCCAGGACCGACGTCGACACCGTTTTGTTGACCAGACTGGTCGTTGAATTTGCGAAAAAGTCCGGGTGTGAATCTGTGATGTGGGGCGATTCAGACAGCCGTCTCGCTGCGAAAGCACTTGCGGGTGTCGCCAAGGGACGTGGGGCTTCCCTTACCTGGCAGGTATCTGACGGCATGTCTCCTTGGGGTGTGAGGTTCGAGTACCCTCTCCGTGATCTGTTCAAGGCTGAGTTGCTGCAATATGCGAGTGTCTGTGCCGAGCTCTCTGATATCATCATACCTGATCAACCACCCTCCGAGAATGTTCTAACCAAGAACCTTTCTATTGACGAGTTGATGCTGCGATATGTCCAGAATCAAGGCGCAAAGTATCCAGGTGTCATGGCGAATGTGGCTAGAACCGCAAACAAGCTCAACCCTTCCACTTCCGACAGTGCACCAACCTGTGCTCTTTGTGGTAGTCTACTGGGAAATGTGAAGGGTAATTCTGGAGTTACTGTTGCAAACCAGGCAGAGGATAACCACAGCTCTCAATTCTGCTACGGGTGTATGCGATCTCGACCTGAGGAGCTTTGCTGAAGATAAGAAAGATTTATGATTCATGACAAAATTAAATGAACTAAAAGCGAAAATCCCGCATTGCCTGAAATCATCGACAACCATGGGGTATCTGAAATTACGATCTCAATATCTTCATGCACCACGGCTACCTCGTTCCACCTCGCTCCAGGTCATCTTCTGGATGACCCGCTCCGCCAAACCATCTGCCAAGTGACGTCCGGGATTGTTTGGTTGGCTGGGGTCTGGTTGGGGGCTGAGGGGCAGCATTATCCCTTCCCCCATGACCCGACGGACGCGTATCATCATAAGCCGGTGGACGGTCACCCACAACTCCATCTTCTTGTCTGTCAAATGCATCAGGAAGACTGTTGTCGACTTCGACTATCCGCTCCTGTCTTCTGCCGCTCTGCTGTGAGGCAGCCTTGGCGCCCTTTTCGCGCAGATGACTTTCCAGAAGAACGGCGTTTCGTGTATTCGCTTTGTACACTGCATCGGCAAGATCACCTATGAAAGGGACGAGGCCAATGATGAAGTCCATTATCACATTAAGCAACATCTTCATGCGCAGAGCTTGAGGAAGTCCGCCGTCAATTCCTTCGCAAGATTTCACAACCATCATTGCAAGCGCAGCATCACCAGCATCGCCAATGCTGCGGTTCATTTGTTAGCATTGGTCTCATAGTGCTAGTTCAATAGATTTTGGTGGAACTTACAATGGAATAATCCCAACCACACTTCCCCACCCGAAGCGGATTCCGCACAAACTGAAAAGAGCATAGTCCAGCTGGTAGGCTCTGCGTTTGACCTTGGTCAGGACCTTTGTATCATTCTCGGAGAGACCTGGCGGGATGGCCTTGCGACGCTTTTGGGTCTTCTTTCCAAATGTACGACCGAGGCGTGAAGCAGGAACTTCTTCAAAGTAGGGGTCCTAGATAGATAGGAAAAACCGAGTTAGCCTAATCTTTCTTCGCAAAACTAAATGAATCGCAAGGAAACTCACCTCAGTACCAAAATGATTTTTGGCAGTTTCACCTAGCACCTTCTTGCTAACCAGAGACAGCAGAATTTTCGACATCTTTGGATCACAGCACTTTACTGCAGGTGAAAAAAATTGGAATCTTCCCGGGGGAAGTGCTGAAGAAATAGATGTATGCCGAGCAAGGGCAACAAAAATAGACTATGTATAGGCCCTAAACCCTTCCTGGTTGGGTAGACAGGGTTTCGGTAGGCGCTCGTTTCACTTATTTATGGTGAGGACAAAGGGCGCGTAAAGGTATCTGAATAAAGTGTCTGGTTGTGAAACCAGGTAGATTAATATAGCAATCTCAAAGAATATAGGGGATCCAAGGAGATCAACGTAGACGTCATAACCCCGAGGATCTTGGAACCCGCAGCACAGCCACTTCAAATGTGGCGCATATTTTTTGATAATCACCGCCACATGTTACCTTAGTCACCCGATCACCACCTTGGGCAGCTCCGATGATTGCTCTGCTCCCCAACACCTCACTCACCTCTTTTCTCTAACCTGTTTAGAACCTTGACTACCTCCATAACCTGCACATCCTGCATAGACTAGTCTCTGTCCCATTCTATCCACCATATCCACACAGCCCTGGGTTGGTCTAGCCTCCCTGGAAGCTGCTCCCTCCATCGTATTGCTTGCTTATTTCGACCGTTTGCGCTGTCGGATTGAGTGAGCAGTTATTTCTCAGTCATCAACATTTTGAAATGCCAGAGCCTATCTACCGATATGATCGAAACAAATATGCGGTTAGAAGATTGTGAGTGCCTAGTTGTTGATCGATCGGAATGACGACAGGCTGCTAACCGAGGCCGGTGGGCCGATACTAACAGGGCTGGATGATCTGTGTGTCCGCTTCATTATCAACCTTCCTCGCGAAGAGCTTGAGTCGGTCGAACGGATCTGTTTCCAAGTTGAAGAAGCGCAATGGTTCTACGAAGACTTCATTCGTCCGCTTGACCCGGCGCTACCGTCAATGAACTTGAAGACCTTTGCTATGCGCATTTTTCAGCATTGCCCACTTATGTCATCATGGTCCCATTACCACCACTTGGCTGCTTTTCAGGAATTCCTCGATTACAAGACACGCGTGCCGGTCCGTGGTGCAATCATGTTGAACCACGACATGGACGAGGTCGTTTTGGTTAAAGGCTGGAAGAAGGGTGCCAACTGGAGTTTTCCCCGTGGTAAAATCAATAAGGGCGAGAAAGATCTTGACTGTGCTATTCGTGAGGTCTATGAAGAGACTGGATTTGATATTCGCGACGCGAACTTGGTTAAGAACGAAGACGACGTCAAATTCATCGAGATTACAATGCGAGAGCAGCATATGCGACTGTACGTCTTTCGAGGTTTGCCCCGTGATGCTTACTTCGAGCCGCGCACTCGGAAGGAGATCAGCAGGATTGAGTGGTACAAGCTTTCGGAGCTGCCAACGTTAAAGAAGAATAAACAACATGATGAAGGACTCGCAGTCGCAAATGCGAACAAATTCTACATGGTTGCCCCGTTCCTCAGTCCACTGAAAAAGTGGATTGCGCAGCAGAAGAAGCTTGATGCGAGAGCCCAGCCTAACCAGGTTTCACAGGCCGAGGGGTATCTTTCTGTGGATGAAAATGGCCATGCCAATGGCACTCCAATGATGTCTCTTGCTGACATGGCTATTCCAAGTGAGCTTCCTGAGGTGAGCTCAGTGCAAGATGCTTCAGATCACCTCAAGCGCCTTTTGAAGATCGGGCCCGCACCTGGGCAGGTTCATACACCAGGCCTCGAGCCAGTTCGTGCTTCTGCTGTTGACCCATCTAAAGCAAGCGAACTTCTTGCCTTGTTGCAGCGTGGGCGTCAAGAGGCGTCCGCTCAGGATTCTCTCAATAATTCCATGGCGCCACCCAACGTATCTCAGTCCAATGTCCAATCCGCAGAACAACGGCCTCATCTGGGCCCGAATTTCTTCCCCGGATTCCCCCAGCAGCAACAGAACATGGGTCCCTCTCCTTTCATGCGGCAGAACTCGACACCGTTCCACACTGTTCCCTCCCAGCCTCATATCCAGCATTCTGCGAATGGTCCACAGGTTCTTCCGGGCACTGCATTCCAGAATACCACACCCAATTGGTATCCTAAACCCAACGCGATACCCCAATTCCCTCAAGACAGCAGTTCTTCTCAATATCAGCATCATAATCAACCTGCCATGGCCCCTGGTCTTATGCCCCCTAGCAATATGCCCGCGCCATTTCAACGGACGGGAGACCCCGAGTTCTCTGAATCTGCTCAGTTATCTCAAACCCGGGGCCCAGTCGTCCCGCCGGCGAGCAAGTTACCTCCACCTAAGCTCACGAGTCATTCTCTAGCACTTCTAGAAGTCTTCAAGGTTAAGACCCCCAAGGGCCCAGGACCAGCTAGTCTGGCGGCTCCCACACAGGGCTCTTCCCAGGTCCCTGCGACATCTCAGCATCAGGATAGTCTTTTGGGTTTGCTCAAAGGTTCCCAAACTGCCCGCGTTTCTGAACCAGCGGAATTGTTAGGTAAGCCTGTTGTGCCCTCTGCAGCGCCTTCAGAGAAGCAGATTCTTCAGCGCCCTCGCAATCACCACAATCAGCCCACGCACCAGCCTGGTGCAGTGAAGAGGCTTCCGGGGGCGGGTCAGACATCGGCTACCGTGTCTGGACCATTGAACACGCCCCAATTTGAAACATTTTCCAAACCACATAGGTCAAACAGTGGAACGAACCGAAAGAACCATGTGAACAGACGAGAACAACCACCGTCACAGCCGCTATCCTCACCGATTACTATTCTACCGCGTCCTCATTCTGCCAAACGGGAGGTATCCTCGTCGAGGCCCGCTTCACAAGCAACACAGGTTCCGCCTGCGAAAATGCCCGAAGCGCCTGAGCCTATTAAGAATTTCCAACCCCAGATTCTGCGTCGATCTGAAAAATCTGGATATGAAGCATTGATGGCGGCAGCGCCTCAGTCAGAGGCAATTGAACGCAAATTGAGTTTGCCAGGTGTTGAAGCCAACACCCCAGGATTGGCCCCACAGGGCAACTTTGACCGTCGGCCGAGTCAAACTGCTGAACAGAAAGCTTCACTTTTATCTCTCTTCAGCAAGGCACCTGTCTCTCCGTCGCCTGTTCTCGCGACCCCGTTCGACGCCCGAGCCGTCAATCAGCAACCGGCACCATTCTCAGGGTTTGTCAGCCCGATTTCGTCCCGTCAGCGTCCGAGCAGCGGAGATATCTCTCGTCGTGGTACGCCATCCGATAGCGGTGCACAAATCAATGGTCAACATGTCTCCTCTCCTAGCAACAAGGCGTTCTTGCTTGGTTTCTTGGAGGGAGTGGCCAAGGGCAATAAGTAGGTCTGTGGTCGGTTGATTCATGCCTAGGTGGCTTCGCAGTAGCCATGGCTAGGCACTTGTGATATACATAGCAATAGTGTAATATTGGAACCCATTATTCTTACAGTTCAAGGAAAGTAATCAAGTGACGCCTAGAATTATACAAACCGTCCCTACCATTTGGCGATGTATCGATAACCAAGTGACATCAGGCTAAGATCAACCCAGTGCATATCGACAAGCTTGCAAAAAGTGAACAAACTGAAAGACACTAGAATTGTGTAAACTAATGACCCAGGCACAAACTATAGAGGGGTTCACCTGGAATTTTCGAATTTTATTCACGCGACGATTACAGGCCTAATCAGAGTCGGAGGTTGTGAGACAAATCAGAGTGGCACAGCTTCCAGATTCAATCAGCGAAGCCACTATCAGAGGTGTCGTTTCAAGAACCCTGGTGAAGAATGGACCTCAGGATATAGATTGGAATTGCCAGAACTGGGTGGGTGACGCACTTACCCGGATGGTGAACTATGGGTATTTGAATCATTGAATGTGTCTCAACGAGCATCGGCCATCCATGAAATGAGTGATGCATGCTTGGAAGCCGAGGATGGAATAACATCATTGTAAATGCCAAATCATGTTGCAGGTCAGTGGCTCACTTCAATAAATAAGCAGGCGGCTTCGCTAACATTAGAATCTAGCCCTTCGATCCATTCATAAGCTTTTTGGGTATTTTTCATCAGAAACAAAGGAGAGCTTTCAGTTGTATTTAGAAATCAAAGGGATGATTATATTGTTAATTGTTCGATTCGCCACTATCTTAGGTCTTCATGATATCCATAGTGTATCAGCTAGTGGCTCAACATGAGAGCTAAGAAGGACATGCCTATGTATTCTCTCTCGAATTGAGGGGGCAGAATACGGGATAGATATTCTGGCCAGTCAGGCACTGGTTTCAATTGCCGAAGCGCCTGAGTGTATTCCCAATATGCCGGGTACCAACCAGCATCTTCCCAGTCGAGGATTGCTGTGACATGGCCTCCTTCGACGAGAATATTCCGGGGGGAGATATCAGAATGAGTAAAAACAATCTCATGGTTATTCGAAAGCGCATGTTTAGCATAGTGTCGTAATAAATCAGGTGCTGACTGAACAAGATCCCCCAAGATAAATTCGTTGAACTGTTGCTCAGAGTCGAATGCGCCACCTTCAATAGATATACGTCGTCCAATTATCGCCTTGCCACGTTCGACAGCCCCGATATATTCCCCTTTTAAGTTGCGAAGTTGGCTGATGTAGGAATGAAGTTCGTTGGCAATGGAGAGCTTTTGATTGGAATCCAAAGTATGCCACGCTTCATCAAGTCGCTTTCCAGGCATATAATCCATCGTAATAGCCACGATTTGGCTGTTCTCCGAACGGACATCATGAACTTTGGGTACAGGGATCGTGGTATTTGCTGCAATGAAACGAAGCATTTGCGCTTCGTGCGAACGGATATTGCCCGACTTTATGACAAGATTTTCTCCTACTCTAACGACTGTGCGACCGAACAACGAATGGAGTATCTCCCCCTCTGTGTGATTGATTGCATCCATATTCGGAAGTTTGAAAGGAAACTTAACTCAGGGAAAATTTTGGCAAATATACTACAGAGGAAGTGTAGTGAATCTCACTTGCAACAACCCAATAATACATTGCCGATGAGCAATGGCCCTCCCCAAGCGTAAGCATGTAACGGATCGGAGTGAGCGAATTGCTCTGGCAGTACTTTAGAGTTGTCCTGGATTTTGCTAAAATGAAAAATATGAGAAACAATATAATATGCATCAGGCTAGTTAATCTGAGAGAAAGCCTGACGACTGGATCACGTGAGGCCCTCTTCTGTTTCGCCATATGTAGTCAAAACTGGCCGTGTAGCATAAAATTGAGAAATATGAAAAAAAAAGAAAATACTTTTTTGCTTTTCTAATAACGGCGTTTTTAATCTATTTACTAAAGGTCTCCTGGCCTGGTCAATTTGATATTAAAGCGGTTTGTAGCCACCCACGGGGATAGATTGGGCAGAACCCCCACTTTACTGGACTTCTCAAATCCGAACGTCAATTTAAGGATAGATTATTTACAATAAAGCAGTAAATATCTGGATGAATTAATTGAGATGCGTGGGGAGAGAAAAGGAAGCTATCTACACGATTAGACTAATTGGGTCCTGGGAGCATTCAGAGGTCACCTGACCATCTGACAACATCAGGTAAAGTGAGCATGTCTATGTGCATACTAAGCCTAGTCTAGTCCTCACTTCTAAGGTTGTCATACTAAGCAATAATGATCCATACCCCATGACTCAGTGAACGCCTTAGCGCTCTCAAAACAGCAATAGGGTAAGTGGCGGCCGAGATCTGATACAGCCACTCCATACGGAGTGCATATGCATTCAAACCTTCTTCACAAGCGCAACCCACGCTTGTCTGTATTAGGCTACCAATAGCCGTAGCGGCTGGGAGTATGTTACGCATGTCCGCATACCGGACTAAACTAGTCGCTGCCTCATTTTCTCGAAATTTCTGGATGCCTAATACATAGTTAGGGTTAGCGATATGTGATATGGTAGGGAAAGGGGAATCACTGGGGATAAGTGAGAAATCTGCGCTAAAAGGCTTATAGAAATAAGCCCTGTAAACAGGATCGGCCCTGTGGTTGTCCTTATAATAGCGTGGACGCTACTTGCCGAAGGCGATCCCGACATCTCAAACCAAACTGAGAATACGAGCCCCTATGTTGTATAGAATGGAAAAATAGAAACATCTAGCCCAATTTTTCAGTGGATTGAGATCTACATAATCGGGGCTGAGTACGGAGTATGTCCGTAGGTATTTTAGATGCCATAGTTTGCTTTTTAGTAGATAGGGGCATTAGATCTGATCTCTTCTGCCTTAAGGAGTTGAGGGTTCAACAAGGATGAGGTTGAAGGCTAAGACTAAATATAGGAACAATTTAATATACAAAGAGATTATAATATATAATAATAGATATAAGAGATAATAAAGAAGATATAAGAGTATTAATTGACGTATAAGTTCGGTGGAAACCTGAAACAAAAAAAAAAGGGGCCCCGTGTTTCAAAGGCTTCTAACTTCACATACGACGATCTCTTCCAACCTCAGCCTCTTCTCCGTTTCAAGAACCTTTGAATTACTCCTCGATCCTTGACCCTTGTCAAACCCGAAACATACCAAACGAGATCTCCCACCTTAAATTCCCCTCATCACCCTACTATCAACATGTCCGCCCAAGAAGAATTCAACCAGCTGGTGAACAGTAACCGTTCACAATTCACCTCTCACCCAGAAGACCACGACTCAGACCCGCACTTCTCCGACGACGAACCCTCTTCCCGCCTCCGCTCCCGTCAAACCGTCGACTCCTCCGACGAAGAAGCCGAAGCCGACATGGTCTCCTCCCGCACCCCAAACTACCACATCCCCAACACCGTCTACGAAGCCAACACAGGTCCAAAGGGCGTCATTGCCGACGCCCAGGCCTTCGAGCGCGCCCGCAAGAAGTCCTTCCGTCGCACCCTCCTCAGCGCCGCGGGGCTCGACTCCCACTCTTACAGCTCAAAGTCTATTCGCGATGACGTGCCCCTCGCAAGCGGCGACCAGTCCTCTGCCAGCGAAGACGACGACGAAGCCCGCTTCATGAACAAATGGCGTCAGTCACGCATGCATGAGCTACAGGATCGGAGTAACCGCCGACCCAGTCCGCGGGGTAGACGGTTCGGGTCGGTTCAGACCGTTGATGCGGTGGGATATCTCGATGCTATTGAGAAGGTGACTTCTGATACGGTGGTTGTTGTCTGTATCTATGATCACGAGGTATGAATTGATCGAAATATAATTGCGGCTGGTTACTAATTTCGGGCTTAGTGTGATGACAGCGCTATCGTCGAGGAATGTCTTGTTACTATCGCTCGCAGACAACCTACTATTCGTTTCGTCAAGTTGCACCAGTCCATCGCCGAGATGGATCACATCAAGGCACCCGCTCTGCTGGCGTACCGTGGTGGCGATGTCTTTGCTACTATCGTCGATGTCCTGCACAATATTCCTCGCGGCCGTAGCTGCAGTGCTGACAGTCTCGAGGACTTGTTGAAGCTGTTCGTATCCCCGGCTCTTCGTTACTAAGATGTATACTAATTGGCGACAGGAACCGTGTGCTATGATCTTTTTGCTATTATGTTTTCAGCGTCGACATTTACTGGCATAGCAGCAAAGCGTCTTGGTTTCGTGATATCTTTTGCATTGCTTGTCTTTCTTTTACTCTCTCAATCTCCCACATCTCTCTTTGTCACCCCTTTAACGTTGCATTATCTGCAAGAAATATCTTCAAACGGCGTTCACTAGAACGGGTTGTATGGGTTTGGACCCGATGGTCTGGTTACTATCCCGTGTCCTATTGGGCATTTCTCTTCTCTCCTTGTCTTATGTCCCTACTATTTCCAGCCCGGCAAGGGCCGGGCTTGATGTTTACTCGAGATATCCCATGCTGCATGCTGTTATTACTCTTACATACTTCTACCTCGTTCGACCGGACGTCCTCTCTTCACTAGATGGGATTTCATATCCAATGCAAAACCCAATCTTCCTAATCATAGTCTCCATACATTACCTTAAAGCAAACATTGGCGAGCCCTAAGGCATAGACTGTTAGAGCAGGTGGTTTGACTTATTAAGTTAACAACTTTACTCAAAGGCTACTATCATTCATCAAAGGTTATAGAAAAGTCGTCTGCAGAAAGCCTTCTTCCGCCTTTCTTTCGCCGACCTATAAAACTCCCAAACAGAATGATATCTGAGACCACCAAGAGACCGTTGAATAGACCACTGAATAGACCACTGAAAAGACTACTGAAAAGATATCACAATGTCACTTATGCAGCATGCTACTATTACTCAAGTACTTCTACCGCAACTACCCTTAAACTTTATAACAACTTTGTCATTTCTATCCTCACGGATCTTTCTCTTTCTCATTCCTTACCATTTCTTTTCGCGACTATGCCCGAAATAGAATATCATCCAGTTCTTCCCAAGATGACTGGTGAAACAATCACCACTCCCTGCCTAACCCCAAACCCCTCGGAACCCGTTATCTACCCCCATCGAAACTGGACCATCATCGAAAAGCCAAGCGAGCATCCATGCCCTGTTACCCCAGACTTCCACGATGGCATGGGCCCTGCATTCACCGCAGGAAAATAGCTTTGTCGCCTCGCAGGTGACGCACAAGTTCACGGCATCCTACGTATCTACAAACAAATCCCCGTTTCCGGCACTGAAATCGATAGCACGAGCGATCGACAGGTACAGGCCTCCAATCGAGACCACGTGGAGCTGAATGCCTTGAAACATCTCACCGAAAACGGATGCACTGCTACCCCCGCTCTCATCGGGTATCGAACCGACAAGCAGGACGCAAATGACCTCGTCCCAGGCAGATGTTGAATGGGAAGAGGAAACCGGCTGGTGGTGGCGAGAAGGAGATTTGAGAAAAGGAACTGGGGGTAATCCCTGTTGCTTGGTGTTTGGCCAACTAGCTCAAAAAAGGCGCTGATAGAATAATCTCTCCCTTTAAGATTATGACCACAAGAATAGTCGGCCGTATAAGCGGCCTTGAGATGTCTTTTGAGTGGTCTTTAGGGGTGTCTTTCAGTGGACTTTCAGTGGTCTTCTCAAATATCATTCTGTCTTGTCAGTCGTATAGGTCGACGACAAAAAGGCAGAAAAAGGCTTTGTGCAGACAACCTTTCTATGTATAACGTTTGATATTCCTAGTAGAACAAAAAAAAACAACTTCAACACTGAGTTCAGACTTTAGGATGGCAGTATGTCTACATAAGAATCCTGGTCACATGGTTGGGCAGTCTTTGTAATATTCTACATCAGATCACTCAGATGCTCAGACCTGCTCAGCAAAAAGCAACAAGATCTGAGCACTGATACAGAAAGAGAAAAGAAGGAAAAGAAGTGACAAAGGGAATCAAGTACATGTAAGAAAAGTAGTTACAAAGGAAATCAAGTACATGTAAGAAAAGAAGTGACAGAGGAAATCAGTACATGTAAGAAAAAAAGTGACAGCGGAAATCAAGTACATGTATGTGAAGTAGCTATATAATGAAAGAGGGTGTGAACACCCCCCATGTATTCCGTGGGATCTGTCAGTGACTACGGAGCCCGAAAGCTCAGTCACGACTTTTCAAGACTCGCACGAGAACTCCCCGTTTGATGTGGGTGCGGACCTGAGAAGACATCAACAATTCCAAGGTTGGTAATGTTGACATCTTTCCGGTTTTCATAGGAAAGGCACGACCCTCAACGCTGTCTCAGGTGGGCTACGGTGAGTACAGTCGAGAGGGTTGGGGAGAGGAAGAAGAGAAGAGGAGGAAAGGTGGGAGGAGTCCTTTTATAGTCTCACGTACCTTCCTAAAATGGATGGGTCCTTTGCTCCTGCCATTTTCATTCTCGGGGTTAATGTGGCAGGTGACCATATGGAACCCTATACATGTGAATGTACATAGTATTATCATAAGTATTTGTCTCTTTACAAAAGAAAAATTCAGGGCTCTATAATTCAGGGTATCAAGGGCAAATGCAACTGAGATTCGGTATAAGATCCATAGTATCCTGTGCAAATCGAAAGCTATTATACTAGATTCTCGAATTCCACCCATGAGGATACCAAGTCCAGCCCTCGAGAAAACAATAGCATTTTAGAGAAGAGAATAAAAGAGCCATCCAATTTCCTTCGGTAGTCCACTAACTCCCCGTGTCAAAGACAAAAAAACATGATATCGAAGTAACTAGACGTATGGTCGTGAGTGACCGAGGATACTAGAGAAGCGAAGACTTGAAAGAAGAAACGAAGAAGAAAACAGAATAAACACTCCCACGCCTGGTTTTCTCTCACCTCTTCCGCTCGCTGGTCCCCTACAGGGCTCCGCGATCTGCCGTGAAATCCCAAAGCATTTTGATCAGCGCGTCTGGCAGGGTGTACAGGTCCACGTGGAATTCTCCGACTAGATAATGAAAGGGGATGGTTAGCGTTTTATTCAGAGGTAACGGCACACAGAGAAAGAATATGGAGTTCTTTTCCTCTGATACACCCGAGGCAAGGACAGAGAGAAGAAACTTACGTTCAACATCATTCTTTGTGTATGAGTCCGGCGCCTTGTGGTCATGGACCATCTGCACAACCTGCAAAAGGTCATCTTCGTTCAGCTTCTGCAGCCCATCGGCAAGCTTGTCCATGTCGACCTTGAGAATGCGTCAGTCCCAGCAAATCCCAAACCCCATATCACAAAAACTCACATTCTTATCTGTGCGCTTCTTCTTCTTGGCACTCTCTTCGCCACCAGCAGGACGCTTGTGCTTGATGCCATTTTCGTCGCCGGGGACCGGACCGGACTCGCGTAGCGCGGCCATCAAAGCAGGCTTGGGGTTCTTGAAGGTCTGTACGGGCAAACACGCCATTGATCAGCACACCATTCCTCTCTCTCGGGAAATTCAACTCACAAGAACATGCTTAGATTCATAACGCGTCTGGGCGAAGTTCAGGTCATGTTGAATGGTGTATGACTTGTCAGCAGTGAGCTCAATGGACATATCGAATTCACCCCATCCTTCTTCCTGAATGCGGAACGGCGGCTGCTTGAAGACTATTCGAAGCGGGAATATCCCACGTTAGCCTCCATTCGGAAAATCATCCACACAAAGTCGAATCTTGCCTGTGGAATTCTGAATCGACAGATAACCCACGCGTCATTATGACCAAATAGAAAAGAAATCAAATAGAGATCAAAACATACCTTGTGTAGCGCGTTCACCGAAACTGGGGTGCAGGTGGTAGGTGACCCTGTCGAAGATGTTCGCAGGGACCAAGGCACCCTTCTCGTTCACGAGCCAGACCTCGATGTGCCAAGAGCGCTGTGGGAAACCCTCAACCTCCGACGGTTTATCTCTATAGTTCGGGAAGAGCCCCAGTCAGCCAAGTGTCCAGCCAAGGGTGTTTTGTGTGTATAGGTAGGGATGGGTGTTGGGGTTTGAATCGAAGCGTGTGCGAAGCTGCGCCCTGTCTTCATCCTTGTGCGCATCGTCCTCGCATCCTGCTAGCAGGACCGAAACGGTAGCGTTTGAAGGAGATTGTGGGATACGACTCCCGGTCTTCTCAGAGCGGAGTTTGCGAAGGGAGGGCAGGGTGGAGGTAGAGGGGCGCATACATAATGTTTTGCTCGGTGATGAGACGGACAGTGCGCTTGACCTATTGAGGAGGAGTGTTAGTATATGCAAGCTTAATTGTGCTGGAAACGGAGAAAAGACCAGGTTTGGGCTCGACAAACCCACAGCCTTAGGCCATGCAAGTTCGTAGTTGGGATGTTAGTATACTCACGTCGGGCATGATTATTTTATTAGCGACTTGGAGTCGTAACTTGAGAGGATCGTGAGGTTCTAAGGTTTTGAGGCCGAAAGGGGAGGTTGACGTGCGGAGAGGTGGACGTGGGCGTGGGCGTCTCGGAGACAAGTTTGAAGTTTGCGCGGTCTATCGGGGTGAGTAATGAGGCATAAAATCATAACTTGTAACAATACCTATAAGACAAGAAGTGCTATATAGTATCTCTTGATATTATAAAGGCAATTGATAAAGTGAATTTAAGCTCAGAGGAGGTGAGAAGGTTAGATGTTCAGGTTCAAACGTGACCTCGACACTCACTCTCTCACCTTCTACCTGATTTACCTTATTTACTTCGTTTAATGAATAATTTATAAATTTGAAAGTATTGGGATCAAATGAATATAGCTATAAACAAATTTATTTTTCAGCTTGTTCCTATATGTATTCACTGTATTGAACTGTTTAGGATCTGCATCGTGTCTTAAGAGAAAGTGAAAGCAAAATGTAAGCTATAAGGAGTTTTCTTTTTTCGTTAAAAATTATACAAATTTTTGTAATATTTTTTTTGCATACACTTGCTTGTTAGGAATACTCATTACTTCTTTTTTTTTTTTTTCTGATATCTTCAGGGTATGGGGTGATGTGCAGGTATATTCGATGGGGAAATGTCTATCTACTTCCAAGCAAAACACCGACGTTAAGGAGAGCCTCCATTTCGTAGACTGCATGGCTCGCAATAGCTATGCGAGGAGCATCTTCATAACTGCTGCCTCGCTCGTCGCGTCGTAGGGGATGGGGAATGGGATGAATTGGGGATGTTTGGGTAGAACGGGGTGAGTTGAAATTGGGGTGATTTTCGAGAGCAAGCCCCGGGACGATAGATCCAATGCCTTGAAATCTCAAGTGCACGATGGTTTGGTATCCTCATCCTCGAAGGGTCAGAAGACGATGAGAACAAAAAAGTTGTTTACTCTTCGGCGTTGAAGAGCTTCTCGTTCTCAATCTGGGCGGTCTCGAAAGCATCCTTGAAGGCGTTGGCGTCTACAGATGTTAATGGAAAAATCAACATCAAGTTGGGATAAAAGCCACTCACTCTCGCTGTTGGCGAAACGGATGGCCAGGGTCTGAGCCTCGGGCTCACCCTCGGAGACATCAGCAGCGGCGTTCCAGACCCAGCTGCGGTCACTGCCGACGTTGGCGCTGAGCTTCATGTCGGGGACGACTGGGAATCCATATTAGCACTGGATGTACTTCGGAAATTATGTCCGGGGGAGGCAATCTCACTGTAGTGGTTGGCGCAGACCTTGAGGGTCTTATCACGGCGCATGACGAGGCGGGTCTTCTGGTTCTCCTTGTGCTTCAACAGACGGACGTCACCGGTACCACGCTCCTTCCACTCCTTAGACTCGCGGTCGAACTTGAAGAGCTTAGCGCGCATCTTGAAGGACTGCTCCTCAAGCTCCTCGTTGGTCTTGGTCTCAACCTTCTCGGTGAGGCGAATAACGGGCTCGAAGTGGACATCGACGGACTCCTCGACTTCATCCTGCATTAAAATATCATGGTCAGTATATGCGCAGAACTATAATGATCACGGGCACTGGCATAGTATGGCTGGGTTGCGACGACCCCACTATCTGGCGAAAGGGGCCACAAGACCCCGCTCCCATCATAGACGCGTCCAACAACAACCGTCTATGCAACCAATATCGGATGTATCAAACTCACCTCATCATTGGCCTTCTGGGCCTTGGACGAACCGGAGGGCTCATCAGTGGGCTCATCGGCCTCCTCCTTCTTCTCCTTCTTGGGACCGCCACCGAACATGGAGAACATGCTGTCAGAGGTCTTCACGGCGGCATCCTTGGCGGTATCGACAGCCTTCTCAGCGGTCTCAGTGGCAGTCTCAGCAACGGCCTCAGTGGTAGACTTCTCCTCGCCGGTGGCGGGGACGGTCTCTTCAGGCTTGGCCTCGGAGGCAGAGATGGCGGGGTCGGGCTTAGTCGCGGTGATATCGGACATGATGACGAGGGGTTCAAGAGGATCGGTTTAAGAAGTTAAAAAGAGAAGTAGCAGGAATCCACGGAAGATATGGAATTTCAGTAAGAGGTAGTGTTTGTTGATCAGAGAAAGCGATGAGGGGGGAAAAATTAATACTTAGTTTGGGTCCCATGCCCGGCAGAATCCGCCACCGCTCTCGTCTGCCAATAGCGTTTGTTTGTATAATGTGAACTACATGGATGAAACATAAACATCAAAGAAAAATCTTGAATGTTCTACCTATCTTATTGAGTACATAGTACTTTCTGGATAAGGCCAGAGTTGGATTGTGGTTTAAATAAGAAATACCATTGCGCCGATTGAATAGTTCGTGTAAAAAACCCCCTCCCCTTTCCAGTACCGTTGCCACCCAATCCTGATCGCCATAAACAAAAACCCCGTCCACAGCCAACTCATTAGTAGAAAAAAAAGCGAATACAAAGTCGTAAAGTAAGTCCATTCATCATTTCGAGCCAGGGGTTGAGCAATCCCCGGATTTGGACCGGAATCCCATAAGATGTCGCGCACGCGACTGAGCCCGATCTAGCGCATCACACTTTCTAACGTTGCGCACTTGATCCATCATACTGCGAGGGTCAAGTTTCGTTGCTGACTTCCCAATTCGGCTCCATGCATTGTGAACAAGACCCTTGGCTTCCTTGTTCACGCGACTAGACCGCATTTGCAGCACAGAAGAAACACTTCGGAAGCGCTGGATAGTATTGCGAGTCAAGACTTCTGAAATTTGTTTCGAACGTGATAGAACGGCATCGCGAGCATTCAGGCTCTCACGACGCAGTTCCTCGGCATCGCGGCGCAAGAGATGGGTTCTCTTCACCACATCTCCCACGATCACCTGCAAGTCGGTAGAGAGACGGCCGCACACTTCGGTCAGGCCGGTCTGGGCCGTTTGAATTTCCTTAGTGAATTTCGAAGAGAGTTCCTGTGCCGCACGTTTCCAGTTTGCAATCTTCAGCCACGGTGTTCCGAAGTCAACAGCCATGGTCTGGTTGATTGGCTGTTTTGACTTGGTTGTGATCGTCAAGTTGACTAACCCATAGGCATCCTCAGGGTTCAACTTGAGTGTGTAGACTCCATCAAACAGCTGTGACAGCTCGTACGTAAGAGCCTTGTTCTCTCTGTGAACGCTCACATTGAATTGTGGCCGTTTCTTGGATGATGCAAACTTATGTGGGGGTTTGATGATTACATGGCAGTCTCCAACGACCTGGATCTGAAATTCATTTGTCGCTCCCCATAATTTTGCAGTAGAGATAGTTGGCACTGTGGCATCCTCGGGGATTGAATTACCTGAAGAGGGCACATGCAATAGTCGCATAGACGATGACGACAGTGTTGAGATTGAGGGTTGTGCCACGCGATTCAGGGTCAGGACGGAGGCGGAGGAGGCGTGTGGTGCCACTAGGGATGATGCATTGGATATAGCCGACCCGGCAAAACATTGTGCTAAAAAGATGACCAGAACCTTAACAGCAACATACCCAATAGAGATGGCAATGACTGAAATAAGAGTCAAAGTAACCAGACGCAGTGTAGGAGCCAGCTCTCGGGCCCGCGTGGCATAGGATGGCGGGAGCCAATTACCTGGAGACTTCTCGAGATCCGCAAATATGTTCCTCTGAAGAGGCTTGGGAGTATCGGCAGTAACTTTATATCCCTTCTTTGGATACAGGCCAACAAGGGAAGCGAGGTTTCGATTCAACTGACCAGGCGTGATGCTCTCGAAAGTCTTCAAATCGATAGGATACCGTCGAAGCACTGCGGTCTCCCCCGAAACCGGATGGCGGGACTCCAAACATGTGTGCAGACTGTTGTGGTTAAGAGGGATAACCTCTCCTGCCATATTCCACAGCGGCTCCTCTGAAATCACCATCGCCGGGATTCCGTGACGTTCCAGGAACATGTGGGCAAGACGCTGAGTCTTGGCAGCCGCTGCATCGTCGAGGCCGGAGACAAAGAGGATTGCCACATCCGGTATAGTCCAATCTGTTGCAGATGTTACATGGTAGTCAGATCCATTCCAGGCCGAAGTGCAGACAGGGCGATTCTTGAACTTCAGGTTCAGTGTACTGGGTCGGTCCGCGTGGGGATCGGCTGTGGCTTCCAGACATTCGTCAACCACCAGCTGGACATGAATTGGGAGAAGTTCCGCAAAGTTAGGAACAGCTCCGGCGCCAAATGAAGTTGGCACGACATGATACCGGGAAGATTCGGCCGAGCTGGGCTCTGAACCAGCACATGAGCTTGATACCAGAACATCGCCGATCTTGTCGAGAATAATATTTCGGAACCCCGGTTGTCCAACATAGAGCACGCGGAACGGTTTGTCCAGGTCGAGGCTCTGCTTCGTCATGGTCTGTTGAACCGTGGCCATGAGGATGGACTCGGTTGAATTGTAGGGCAGCCGACTTTTTAATTCCGAAGCTGCAGCACCTTCAAAGATGCGGATAGTATGCTTGAGCTCCACTCTCTCGATTTCGGGCCACTTCTCAGGCTCCACAAATTCGATCGAGTCACTGGTGCGGGGGAAGGAGGGCTTCGTGGTTGTGGTGCTGTCATCGATCGTGGTTTGTCTGGCAGCAAAGAGGGCAGGCAGCTCCTGGGATGCAGATTCAGTGCACTGCACTTCATCCCTGTCTATTCCATCATCCTCTTGGTTGTCTTCGTCATGTGCCTCGGCCTCACTGCCGCTGTAGCGTCCATCGAGGCTTGAAACGTCGTCAGGGCTAGCCTGGTCGATCAAAGAGCATGCATCGGTTTGTTCGGAGTGGCTGCCATCCTCTGAGCGGATATCAGATACGCTCAGAGTCGCCCAGCTATCACTCAGAGTCTTGGGTGAAGGATCAGAAAGTCGATCTGACGTCATATTGGTAGGCCGTGAACGGGACAACCACTCCTCGACAGAAGCTGTCAGGGGTGGAAGAGTCGGATATTGTAAACTCGAAGCAGTCTGGGAACGGAATAACCGCCTATGAGGCGAGTCTGGATCGTCAGTCATTTCGTGGATGTAAACTTCATAGAGCACACGGGTGCGGCGGAAACAGGAGCTTAGGGATAGCCCGGTGGGGAGAAGATCAAAAAAAGCAGAGTTAGAGAGATAGAGATATAAAGCAAGGGTATTTTAAAAGAAAGGGAAGGTCGGAAGATACTGGGAATAGGCAGAGACTCAAGCCTAGATAGATAAGGCCCACGGGTGGGTCTGCGGAGAGCCGGATGTTAGAGGAGTCAGGTGCGTTGGGGAAAGAAGGGCCTTACAGTAAAGGCGTGAAAATACGTTAGAAGGTCAAGTAAAAAGAATTATGAAGATGAAGAGAAACATAAAGGAGAACTGAAACGTGGAAAGTCAGATGTTGCGATAAGAATGACCCAAGTGACAGTAATGGCGGGGTAGTACAAGGTACCTGAATGTTGTATGGTGATGTATGCGGTGATGGTGGTACTAGGTACCACAGGTTGATACCTAACGGCTTATCCTTTGTTTGACACTCTCGCACTCTTAAAGAAAACCTATCAAATGCTTCATTTCCTAAAGATCCCTAGAGTTATTCTTATATCCTTAGATTCTATACTCCGTACTTCTATACTTGAGAGCTCCACTATGCCCCACCAAACCCGTTAAGCCGCGATGTATACTCCTTTGAACTATCATACATTCAAAAGTCGACGTGGAAATGAGCATTGGAAAAAATATATAACCTAAAATTGACCTCGCTTCACTTACTTCATCTGAGATATTTAACCCTCTAAGAGCAGTGAGCAGTGTCACACTATCCCGAAATTTACCTCGTTCAAGGTCCATCGGCATACCCCAATCCCTGCAGGATCCACCCGCTTCCTACATCGGGACACCACTGCACAACAATATCGCTACCATAGAGCTGTATACATTGTCTCATGATAAACATCAAGTTTCAAGAACCACTGTTTCCGATGCACAATGTATCCAAGAATTGACCCAAAAGCTCATTTATATCTATTGAGAAACATCGGGCTCATATAATGCTCCTAGACGAAAGAACTCCTGGCAACGCATGTACATACCAATAAGCCTCGACCCACTTGGGGGCTTATATACTCTGTCACGGTCTAACACCCGCTGGCAGTTCTCTGCAGACGCATCATCCTTACACCACACCTCTCGCCAGTTGCTACCAACGGTATGTGCCGGGTCGCGGTGCAAATTGGCGAGAAGCCTAAGCTTCTTATAGCGGGGACGGGTCTGCTCATTCTGTTCAACCTCAAACTCGATTTCCATAACCCTGTAGTTCGCGGTTGCAAAAGCAGCTGACAAGCCAACAATTCGAGCATCAGGTGCAAAATGAACAGTTTGACGAATCTCGGTATAGAGCTCGTCCGTGTTCGCTGTTCTACCTGACGTATAGACAAAGAGTAGTCCGACTATTGCCCGGTCTTTGAAGTAGGCCTCGGCTGTGATTATGGTCTCTCGACGGCCATCATTCTGTCTCTCGAAGTAGAGTTTCCGTACCTGGTCAAAAGGAGGTCCTTGTTCGGGGACCAATATTCGGGCTTTTCGGTGACTTCCATTCGTAGAAATAACGGCTCGGCCTCGTTCAAAGGATACATTCAATATCCAAGAGATAGCTGTGAGTTTTTCGTCGGAGTCGCCCTGATACTGGTGGTGCTGAAGCTCTTGGGGTGAGAGGGACTGGAAGTCTGGCGGGCGGAACGTCACACTGCGAGCACGAGTCGTCTCAATGTGTATGGCTGCGACTTGACCTACTTCCATCCCTGGGCACTCAGCAGAAACCCCCATTGGAACAAGCCGGATGGTCAAGGATTGGATATCCTCGTCTTGGGACAGTTCAAACCCATCATCGAGTTGATCCATCCACTGCCCTACAATTCCAGGACTCGAATAATTATAATACTTGAGCTTCAAACCGGATATGCGACTTCGAGATCTAGAACGGCCTGGTATGCCCGTGGATGCCTAGATCTTCCTAGCGTTCTTGAGTGATGCGTAGGTCTGATAGTTACCAGGATTTATACTGTTTATAAAATGAGCGAATTTTTCATCATATCGCAGCTAATCGTCGGGCGTTTGATGGCATTCGAAATCCAGAATATCTGGTATCTCAGGATGCTTGCCACACTTCTGATACTGAATACCGACACGCTCAAAGCAACTAAGCCTTGCCTGGGTCTGCTTAGCTTCTCTCCGGATCTCCTTTAGGAATACCTTTTCAGAAGCAACAAATCCAGTGACGATATTGCTGGGTGGCGGCGAAATCGATATTATCTCAACAGCTGCATCGAGCCGACGGCGAAGAGGAGCGAAAGTAGCAGTTCGTCCATAATTTGTTGACACCTGGACCAAAGTTAGCTTGTACATACGGTATACTCCTAGAGAACCATATAAATTACCTGCAAACCAACGAGGCTCATTTCTTGACGTGATCCCTCAATTTGTAGCATCCCAATTCGACTGACCCGCTCCCCCTTTAGTCCATCGATAAAAAAAGAAACCTCGCATGCATCGCTGCAGCCGGAAAGTACGGATGTTCTATCAGAATATGATATCTCTATTCCGATAAATACATGAGGGCTAGACCCCATATAAAACGTAAGCCTTGCCAAGGATGCGAGAAGCAGGCCTCTTAGGCCACCGAAGTCAATGTTGGTCAGGGGTTCAAAACTCCGAGCAGGCCGGGAGGGTAATAGAGTGCTAATCCCCAACTCCTCGTTACTTGGAGGATGTGGCGTCCATAAGTGAGACAGTACTCGAGATCAATCCACGACATGTTCAGAGGGAGACTGCGGTATTTCAAGGTCGTTGATTGCTTTGCCGAGGCCGAGTGAAACGATCTTGTATTTATCTAGACCTACAAGCAAACAATGCCGATTTGACTTCTCCGGAATGCTAAGAGTGCCGTGAGCAATTCCTGGGCCGTTGGAATTACCGACCCAACGCGACGAATTTGAGCCTGTATAGATGAACTTGATCCCCGTCAAACCCTGAGAGCAAAATGCCACACCGAGAGCTTTCACGTGAAAGTTGTCCGGTATCTCTATCCACGTCTCGGAAGCTGGATTGTGATATCCGACTTGATGGTTGACGACACTGCACTCCCCAGATGGAAATAGGTTTATTCCAGATATAAATCTTCTGGCACCGAATTGGATGGTTGAGATACCTATTCGACGTCGATACTGCGGAAGCGGGGGTACAAATGATTGCGTTCTGTAGTAAATCACACGACATGCTTCACCTAAAGGGCCATCCAAAGGGCTATCCGCGCTAACAGAGGTTAGATAGCCGGAAAAGAAGCTGGCTACCTCTATGAGCCCAGACGTGTTTTCAGCACTCTCGTAATTGTAATATCCACCTTGGCTTTGCACCGGGTGGACGGCAGATCCGTATGGGCCATTTCTCAAAATGGGCTCTAGGCCCACAAGAGTAGCAATGGGCTCTATTAGCTGCCGGATTCTCTTCCGATTGATCAATGATCGGTTCCCTGCCATGAGCGCTGCTCTGGTCCCGAAGAAAAGTAGATACCAGTCCTGCATATCCTTGACATTAAGGAAAAGAAAGTCAGCTTCCTGACTTAGGAGAAACCTACTCCGCCAGTACGACTGTGGGAGCATATCGACGATTGCAAGTTGAGCTAAATCTCGACATACAAGTCTCATATTAAGGAGTTCATCAAAGGATAAATATGAGAATATGTCGAATACCAGCTCGGGTGAGAGTCCATCGAAGAGGGAATGTTTAGTTCCGTCCAATTTTTCGTGCATTTGTTCTGTCATGACATCGGGTGGGACCGACGGGCAGTTGCCATTAGGCTCAAATGGACCTGATGCAGCGGCCTCTTCGCTGTGGCAACCACTGCGTGCCGCAATTGCAGTCGGGCGAGTTCCTTGCTCTTTCCAAAGCAAACTATCATGCATCTTGAGGAATTTGGACGCGGTTGTTTGCAAGCCCTCTATGGAAGGAATTTTACAGGGGTCAGCATAGAAGTAGTTCGGATCCACTGGCTTTGGCCGCCCAAATGATTTGTGTGTTTGCATGGCACCCTCATAGTCGTGGCCGAATTGAAAGATGGATCCCAGAATACAAGGAGTGCAATACAATTGATAAAAAACTGATTCTGAAATAATCGCTTCACTCTGGGAGGCATCATCCAGTCCACGCCCAAGCCTGAGAAGAAGCAGTTTCCAACACGAGTTGTGGAATCCGAAGCACCAACGGCTTGTAGACGATCCGAAAAGCCTCCATTCTTCCAGTTCCTCAACCCCCACGTCGACATAGGATTTATCGCTGTCAAGCGGCGCAAAGAGCCTGTTCTTGCCACGTACTATCCCCAGCCCAGTTGTTGCGATACACCCAGCAGTAGCATTGGTTGAGTAGAGACCTCGTACTTCTCTGTACCAAGGTCGAATGCGGGACTGCAAAGATGCTACATCATCCCAGTAGGGCTCGGGCAGCAGAATAACTCCGCAGAAAGGACAGTAAACATTGGGAGTCGGAATCATCGAGATAGGGGTCAGGAGTTTCCGTATCCTTTGAAGTTCTAAGTGTGTATATCGCTAGATGCAATAAGCTAATTTGATATTGATCATGAATCTGGTAGAACTCTTGAACTATTGCGCATAAGACCATTAGGTTTGGTTTTAGTCTCAGAGTTGCTAGACCTGCCAAGCCTAGTCATTCTACGCTAAGTATGGGGCCTCCGAAATATTTGGCCAAATCTATGTACCCAGACACACCGCCCTCTATATTCCGCCTTCCTTTTGGTTATACTGCCACAAGAATATAGGGCAACTTATGCAGCCCTGTGATGTCTTTTCAGTGGTATGTTTAGTAGTCTTCTCAGATATAATTTTGTTTAGATAGGACAACGGCAAAAAGAAAAGGGAGGGAAAGGCTTAATTTGGGCAAACGACTTTTCTATGTATAACCTCTTGACTACCAGCACATAGTTTTAGACCGGCATAACTGGCAGAATAGAAAGGGTGGCATACAGGGCGGTATTATTTAGATACATAGATTTGGCCCAAAATTTCGGAGGTTCCACTGTAACTCCTGACTTGTTCCATCCCGCTATCCCATCGCTATCCCATCATCCCATTCAATCGGCATCCCATCACTATATAGTGCCACCATACCATTTTATATACCTGCAAGTATAGCTTATTATCATATTTAATTCTGTTCAGCGCTCCATCCGTCTATCATCCGAAGTGATTCCTGATTCCGATGTCAACACAGCAATCCCCTTTCCAATGTCACTTTCCCGGGTGTGGCCTAAGCTATCGACGGAAGGAACATCTGAACCGACATGCTAAAAGCCACTCTCAACCCGAGTATTTCGAATGCACCTTCTGTGATCGCGTTTTTATGAGGAATGACACGCTGCGGCAGCATGTCCGCCATCATCATAAGACCAAAGAGCTACGAAACTCCCGGGCAATTCAAGCTTGTACCTACTGTCGCTCACGTCGGTCAAAATGCGATGGACAGTCTCCCTGCAGCTCGTGCTTCCAGCGAGGAATTCAATGTTTATATGCCCAAAGCTCACGAGGTCGGGTATTGGAACAAAGAAGGCCTCGAAGAAGCCCTATATCTTCTGTCGACCCAGCAAGTCCTATCTTGCGTTCGGACGCTATTGAAAATAGCCCATGTAGGATTGCGCCATATGTCCAAGCTTATTTCGACAAGTTTCACCCAAAATGGCCATTCTTGCACCCAGCAACATTCAATCACAATACTGAAATGCCTTTTCTTACTCAATCAGTGGTGATGATGGGCTCATGGGCGATGGCGGAAAACAATACACAACAGACCGCAAAAGACCTACATAGAAAACTGACCTCGTCGATATATGAGCAAAGGGTTAGTTCAGCCCTTTTCTCTGTCTCTCCGCATTTTCTTTCTGTTATTGAAGAACAAGCTAGGAAAAATGGGACAAATCGAATCACCATGGCGAACTACACTCACAACATCATGAAACATCCTCATATACTCCCACGCCCTGGCCAATGGCAACATACCAAGGAATCCTGCTACACCTCATCTTCTCCCTCCTCCTCAACCGCGACCAGTCAGATCTACAACTGGCTCAAGTTCTCCCCGATATTCCCTCTCAGCTTCTCGTTTCTCTCGTGCACAGCTGCTTGAAGCGGCATATGTTCTTCTATCCCTCAATAATGGCCCAATTTAAACCAGGTATTAACCCCGATGTTTTTATCTGGCTTGGTATTGAGGAAGTCAAGCGTTTCGACTTGTGCTTGTACAGGGTATGCAGACATGCCCGGGTACACGACACCAAACTCTTGGAAGAGGCGCCCAATTTTAGCCCTCGCGGTGTACCACAGCTACCGGGTGAAAGTCTTCTTTCTCTGGCAGATCTGCAATTTGCGGTCCCAGATAGTGATGAGCTCTGGCATGCGACTTCAGACTTGGCTGCGAAACTCGCGGGAAACTCAGCCACGTATACCAATGAGAATACTGAGGAGTATTGGATATCCCGGACTGCGCGGCTATTGCAGCCTCGTGATCAACAATTTCAGTGGATATAACTATATTTCAATTGCAACACCGTTGTTGTGTATAGACCATGTTTCACTCGTGCTCTAAGTTTAGAAGGCTAGGTGATAAAATATATTTAACCCCCTTTACTAACTGTTTGAATGCCGTGCTCTCGAAATAAAACCCGAAGAAATAGAGAAAAAAAGAAAAATAAGACAGCAATTTCATCCTCCGTCATCCTCGCTATTTCTTATATTCTGTCAAGAACCCTGAACCAATTCCATAACCGGAAACTGTGTTTCAGCAGCCACCATTCGAAGCCTCATCAACAAGACACCCGTACAGTTCAGCTGAGAGATAAAACGTATTGGACCGCTTGCCATCCAACTTTTCCTTCATACCCACCCAACTATGGATACCACGACCAGCCTCCAACGGCCGACGCTGCACAGCACTAACAGCATTTCTATACCTCTCTCGGTAAAGCTGAGGCGCAGAAATAGCATCCATATAAATTTCAATGCGCTCCTGCGCCACGGCATCATTTGCTACATGACAACCCGTTGGGTAAAGGATTGTTCGAGCCACCGGCCGAGACGGATCTTTGTTCTTGAAATGGAAACAGGATACCCCTGGTTCTCCATGGTACGGCCCTAGCGATCCACCAGACATAATTGAGTAGAACTGCTCGATATCATGGACATTGGAGTTGGGATCCATCTTGACATGTTTTTCCGCGATTTGCGTTGCAGATGCGCCAGGGTGTGCAACGTATACCTTGGCTTCGGCCTCTTCTGGGTTCGGCGACAGGCCGAGCGAGAAGTAGATGGGATAGTCGTCGCCAGTCATCATGTTTTCTAATAGTTTCCACGAGGTGGCCAGTCCCAGGCGCTCTAGGGCCTCTCGGGTCACGTTGAAGGCGTTTTGTCTCCCCGAGGCTAGTGGACTCAGGTAAATCTTCCACTTTTCCAGTGTACTTGAGGTGACGAAGCTGTGCCATGAGGCTAGCTTACCCTCTGGCTTCGCGGGGAGAAATAAGTCTTGAACGAGATTCAGACGGTCCAGGGAGACCTTTGTGGAGCCGTACTCTGTCGCTATGTCGTCGGTCAAGCGAGAGGTTGTTTCTTGGAGGGCGATTAAGCTGTTTTCTTTTGGCTGGGCTTCGATCAAGAAGCGCAGCTCAGATGCTCCGGTCTGCTGGGAGAGAGCCAATGAGTACTCGTAAGGCGAGTGATCATTGCTCACGTCAGAAACCCAGGCTGATGTGTCCAGCTTCTGTGGTATGGCATTTTGACACCATTCACCCCCGGAAAACTTCAAGGCGTATAACAGCTTCTCTCTTATGGCCTCTTCTTGCCCAATGGCTTTAGAAAGAGCTTCAACTTGCCGACTAGCCTCGCTGAGATAGTTGCCATTGATCACCTGGTTCACGGGGGCTGGAGCAGGTGTCGCCGGGATGGTAGGCTTGATTGCAGTTGTGGTGGGTTGATGTTCCCAGGCAAACTGGTGACTTTGTCGGTACGACCAGGCGTCCGGTTGCTTCTGGTCTAGAAGAGCCATATCTGATGTAAAGTTGCGATTGTCGACGTTATTGTCTGCTCTAGGATGAGTGCTGTGTATGCGACTTGTATATTCGGCAGAAGGTCGACTTATATAGAATTGAGACACTATCTATAAATAATTACTCCGATATGAAGCGTAGACAAATAAACAGGATTTCTCTCAAAACTACCTGTCACTATCACACTAGCCAAGATTCTCTTGACGGAAAACTTCCTACTGGAAGAGCTGGGCGCTTACTTTGTGCATATAAGAAAGCCGCCACTGTAAGATACAGTCAGACAGACACGGCACATAATATATATAACCTTTGATCAAAAGCCAGTTATTCGCTACTGATCCTACCTACATAAGGGACGCCGTAAGCCCTACTGGACCAGGTGGAGGATAAAACAGGTTATCCGTTGCTAGCCGAGATAAATCTAGTAGAAAATATGAGTCTCGATCAATATGAATTGCTTTAAATGCTATGGTGCCAATAATGTCTAGTTTTAGCCCCCTAAGCACTAGTATCTAGGCTGTTCCAATTAGGAATATGGCCCCCATTCCAAGAATAAGATATGCAGCATATCAGATTGGTATATCTTTCTGCTGCTAATCTCACAATTACAAACTCTATTTAACTCTTCAGGCATCCTACAATAGTTTTTAGTACTGCGTACTAACCCCGGTCTTGATGGGAATAGATATATATCTCAACATTTTATATGTAGTGTATAGTACAGAGTAAGCAGCCACATGGTATACGCAGCTATACGAAGTATATGTACGTCACATATTGAATTATATTGACTATGGCATAGTAGTGCTTATTGGTTATCCACGGGTGCAGAATCTAAAGCCACCAACTATATTCAAATGACACCTTCCTAAAAGTTAGCTAGCCCGGGGCTAGGGTAGAACAGGTAAAAGGTGCCGCTGCTATCAAGAAACTAACTGTAGATGACCACTCAATATGCTGATATTTTGCGGGGATGAATGCTGCTCTGCAGCGGATCTCCGTCGGGTTCTGGGTTCTTCGCTCGATTCGGCCCTTCCCCGGAGAGACTACCAATTGGAACCTCCCGGCAATCAACGATTGTGGATGTCTGACATTGCAGTCCAATTAATACAATGAAGATATGAACCCTGTTGCAGCCGATTGGAGCCTCAGCCCTTCATAAATTGGCAAACGGGTCTATGCGCACTTACTGCTAGCCTTATTGCACTACGACTTTGGCCCAAGTTCAACCCACCTTTACAAAACTTCTGTTGCACTTTGGCATCACATCTTACTTATTTGCTACAGACTGCGCAGTTTGTTTGCTGTTTGCTACAGGGTATAAATACCCTGTTTCCCCTAGATTGAATTCTAGAAGCGCTTTACCTTTATATATCTCACTCCTTCATAAGCACAATAAGCATTCATGGATGTTATCTGAGGGGAAAAGCGCCCGGCTCATAACCTCTTGTGCTTATGAACCAGTTCCAAATCGAATATAGGCACTCTCATTTGACTAATGGCATCTAACAGGCCAGACATCTATTTTGTGATGATCAAAGTAGCTCGCCATGCGAATAACCCCGGTCCAGTACACTCTCAGGCACTGAAGGGCCTGCCCTGATACCTCACTGGCGCTAAAAGCCTCGCTATATCCTACAGTATTGGCATGAAAAACCGCTTCCCTGTTGGGATATTGCGATGCTGATTGGGCGGGCCCCCACAGTGAGAAAGACCTTTCAACCTCAGGATTCGTCTTCAAGATAAGCAGTGATCATATCTCATGGACCTCTAAGAAACAACCATATATCGCTTTGTCGACTACAGAGAGTGAATACATAGCACAAGCTCTTGCTACTCAGGAAGCTTTATGGCTGACCCATTACTCGTTGAACTCGACGTTGGCTTTCTCCAAAAATCGATGCCAATTTTGCAGACAACAATGGTGCCATCGCCCTCGCTTCTAATCCCGATTTTCGCGTGAACACAAAGCATATCGCTGTACGATTTTCACCGACTTCGTCAGGAAGTTGAAGCGGGCAATATCAAGTTCATCAAAATACTGATTGCGGAGATGACCGCAGATGGGTTTACGAAACCTCTTGGCCGCCTGTTATTCAAGCGCTAGATAGCGCAAATGGGACTACATATTCACCGAGAGTGATGCTTGTGGGGGTATGTCGAGTCCTTTCTGGTCTACACCTTGCAAAAAGATATTTTCTGACGATTTCAAGTCAAATCATCTGGTCTTTCTGGAAGAAAATTGGGGGCTATCTGGACTAGATCTGCTAGTCATGGGGGGTGACAGAAGTCATGACTTCATTCGTTTGCTCCGAGAATTATCTAGTTTCCATTTATAGATAGCTTTCCTCTTCTTTGCGCATCTCAAGATATTTTCCAGATTACCTATTGTTTGTCGTAGATAATCTCTCAGTGGTGCTACTACATCAACAGTGAAGACAACGGGATAGACAGAAGATAAAAGAACTAGAAAACGATTAAAAGAAATCGCCTTCGCCGAGAGAGCGATAGCTGAAGGCCAAGAGTTAAGCCACGCAATGCTGCTGCTCAGGCTGTTGGTTGACCAGGACACAAACAATATGGGGAGCCGTAAGCACAAAGCTGGGAAATGGCGGGGTATTAAAGACGAAAATGTGGAAGTATAAAGTCAGCAAGTAGATGTAGAAGTTGATATCCGCTATTAACAGAAAATTGGCTTTTATCAGTTCGAACACTGGCCCATAGTATATCAAATGCAAACTATATAACTAAATGTAGGGTTGTTGACGGGTAGTTGCTGTTCGGTGTTCTAAGCGAGAAGGCAGGTCTATAAATCTAGGCAGATACATATTGTTTACCTAGGCACTCTATTTAAATAATATCCTGGCCTTGAGCCTCTCCGTACTCCATACCTATTTTGTACATAGTTGGATCTGGCCATTTGCGCTGAGATGAAATGTGTTGGCATGTCACTAATACACCAATCATGCACTGCTTATTTTCCACAATTAACTGTGCCAATACCTAATGGTGCTAATATTAATTCTCAGCCCCAGATGTTTCTCAGCTCGCCAAAACAGCCCTAAAGGGACCAGGGGGCCGGGATTAGGTTTTAGTTTATCTTCCCCTCCAACCCCTGTCAATTAAACCTACTTCCATCGACACTCTACATCTAGTTTACTTCTACAATTCCAATGCATCTGGCAACATTCATAGTCATTGCCGGGCTGTTAATAGGCATTTATATTGCCACACGGCGTAAATCGACATCTTTGCCTCTCCCTCCGGGCCCCAAGCCATTGCCAATAATTGGCAATGTCCACCAAGCTCCAAAATCCCATGGCTGGAATACATATCGCGAATGGAGCAAGCAGTATGGTCCCATCGTTCACCTCAACATGCTTGGACAGCACGTCATCATTTTATCTACATCTGAAGTAGCCCACGAACTCCTAGCGAAGCGTGGAACTATATTTTCAGACCGACCTCGTCTTTTTGCAAGACTCTCTTTGACTACATGTGCAACATGAGCTAATTCAAACTACAGTTGGCAACGGAGTTGGCCTTGAAAGGACTCAACATTCTCATGATGAATTACACCGAGCAATTCAAACAACACCAAAGGCTACAGGTTTCAGTGTTAAACGCGACGCCAGCAGCCGCCTATCTCCCTCTGCAGACTCTAGAATCGCAGCAATTGCTACAAGATCTCCTAGAAAATGCGGGCGGCGCTGGTGCTGAGGTTCAAGGACATTTCCAGCGCGCCGTCGCTAGCATCATCCATACATTGTTGTATGGCTTCCGTGTCAAAGACTATAACGACCCGGTACTTCGCACCGTTGTTGACCTCAACGATGAATTCTCTCAGTTTGTCCAGGTTGGCGCGCACATTGTTGACCAGTTCCCCGTGCTTAATAACCTACCCGGCTTCTTGGCCCCATGGCAGGCAAAAGCCGAGAACCACTACACCAGGAAACATGATCTGCGCGGTAAAAACTTCCGGCGTGGTCTGGAGTCCGATACCTGGAATATATCAAAGCATCTCAAGAAAGCTGTCGAAAAGGATGGCCTCGATATGCCTATGAACGAGCTAGCCTTTGAGCTTGGTACCATGATCGATGCCGCGCTGGACGGCACTACAGACAGCTTGCTCTGGTTTGTGGTGGCTTGCGTCACGCAAGATCAGGGCTTCGTTGCTAAGGCACGCAAGGAGCTAGATGCCGTTGTTGGGCATGGTCGACTCCCAGTCCTAGACGACAAGCCCAATATGCCATACATCACCGCAATTGTCGAAGAGATATTCCGTTGGCGACCCGTCGGTCCCGAAGGCGTCCCTCACTTGAACAAGGAGGAGACTACCTACAATGGATATACTATTCCCAAGGGATCTGTTATTATCCCTAACGTTTGGACAATCTCCCGAGAAGAAGCCTTGTTTGGCGCTGACCCCGATGATTTCATACCTGATCGCTGGCTCGATGAGAACGGCAGAACCCTCAAAGACCTCCCCGCTGCCGGCTTCGGTTATGGGAGGCGAACCTGCCCTGGGCGGTATTTTGCCCGCAATTTTATCTGGATCGTTGTTGCCCAGGTACTATGGTCCTTCGATATCAAGGCTGGCCTGTCTGAGGAGACGGGCGAGCCCGTCGTCGTTGACCCTTTTGCGTGTACTTACGGCTTGGTCATGCGGGCTCTGCCTTTCAAGGCTTTGTTTAACCCTCGTGGACCTTGGGTGCGTGAAGTGATTGCCAGAACTGGTGACACTTATAGCAAGGACCACATGGCCATGCTCAAGCAAATTGGCGCGGAGTTCGATAGGTTGTAGTGTTCTCTTTCCTCATTATATGTGCAATCATGAATGTCTTAGGACCTGAGGTCGATAACCACACCCATATACCAGGGGGCGCTAAAGCCCCCTGGACCCCCAGCCTCAGTCGTTCAGCGTTAGCTTAATCCCCTTCTCCAAACGCTAGTCTTAGTGTATAGGTAGAGATGTTTAAGTATATCATATGTATTGACGCTGTTAGTATAGAGTTATATTAGTATTGCTTACCCTCGATACTTTAGTGTAATAGCGTAGTAGTGTAATTAATCTCTTTCTACCCCGCGCTCTATGTACTATTTAGAGGTAATTAATGGGGATTAAAGGTCTCTAGGGGTTTTTAGCAAGGGCTAAATTAGGTAATTAAATAGCGAGGTCTAACCTATTCGATCTAATTGTGATTTTTCAGCTATACTACTGGCTGTATTCCTACCTAAACTAGCTGTTGAACTTCCTGCTCAACTAGCTGCTATATTCCTAGCTATATCGCTAGGTATGAAAACGCCCTCTCCTTGTTTCACAAAAACTTAGACCATATTGAGCCCATTCCTCGTGACAATTGACGAAACTCGGGCTGGATAGACTACAGGATCAAAAAAATAGTCGCGCCCGGGATCGAACCGGGAACCTTCTCGGTGTGAGCGAGACGCCATGACCATTAGGCCACGCGACTTGATTATTAATAATATTTCGGATTGACAGCTAGAGGTGGCGAAGCCAAGTAGCTGAGGAAACGTATTTTGTGCACGACCGACATACTACAGGCGAGTAGCATTGCTGAAAACATATAGTAAATGCCATATGTATTTTCAATATATATATTAATAACACTTTTTCGTTTGGTATATATCTATATTCAAATGTTAGTTTCAAAAAAGTCTAAGCCCTATGATATGACGGTGACGAAAATTACGTTACTATGAGCAATAATATATCAATATATCTCAAGCCCTAAGTAGTAGAAATTCTCTAAGCTTCTTAAGAATGCTATATATCACTAGAATAACCCTACTTAAAGAGGTTCCTATACCTAAGCCACTACGTATATTACGATATCAAGTTTTGTAATGTGTGGTGTTTATGTATCTGCGTTACTCACTTACCGAGTACTAAAAGCTTGTAACTTTCCTTAGCCTCGGGCCGGCTTCCTCTAGCCATTGAACTGAAATTATCTTAATAATCAAGTCGCGTGGCCTAATGGTCATGGCGTCTCGCTCACACCGAGAAGGTTCCCGGTTCGATCCCGGGCGCGACTATTTTTTTGATCTTGTAGTATATCTAGATCAAGAGTAGGAAAAGTTTTTATATGCGAACTTGTATCTTTCTTAGGCATGAACCATGGTTACTAAAATTAGTGTATAACCTTGCTATACCTCCTGTTACAAGCGGCTTTATAAGATACTGGGGAACGGTCTTAAAACAGTCCCGGCTTACACTCCAATCTACGAAGTACTCATCACATAGATTTAAGTATAATCTCTAGTCGTGGGGTCTAATAGTACGGTCTGAGAACGTTTCGAGTCCGTTTCGGGCTCGAGGTGCCAGAATCCGAATTTAATAAACATGTCTAGTCGTGTGGCCTAATGGTCATGGCGTCTCGCTCACACCGAGAAGGTTCCCGGTTCGATCCCGGGCACGACTATTTTTGGTTTCTGTATGTGAACAACATGTATAGCAGACAATTGCTTTTTGTCACCATAGGGGAGTCAAGTCTTTTTATTACTTGGTACCCTATCTTCCTAGGAGGATAAGAATTTTCATATGTTGCGGTGCGAGCTTATATACTGTTTGGTCAACATTCTAGCTTCTTTCAGGTCTATAGCAAACTATAGTTTATGATTTATTGAGCTATAGTATTGCCATAAGTTTATGATGTGTACAGCTCAGCGGCATAATCCAATTGGCCACTAGAAAACTAGGACTTGGAAACGCCCAGCTTGTACTCCAGGGCTATTGCCTTGGCTGTCATCTGTCAAGCCACTTCTTGCAGCAATTATATCCCGTTGATTGCCCCGGCAGCTGGGTTACGCGGAACTCAGAGGGCAGGTATTCAGATTAATAGTGTTGTATCCCGTTGTTAGAATCAGGTTAGCATTTACAACTCTATACTTGAACTATATAATGCAGTCACCTTAAGATCTACTCCTGCGAATACCAGCAGACTGCAGAAGACTTCCTCGCTCTCTACGAAAAGGAGTATCTTGATAATATTATCTTGTAGCCGAGGCCAGGTAATGCGCCTAGTGGATGCTCATGCAATATCAGAAAGACCAGCAAAAAAGAGCTCTAGATCGAAAGCAATCCATGGCACATTTTGACTATGACGAATAACCACCGGGTTGGGAATTATTATGATTCCGAAATTGATCATCTCAAAGCATGTCGCTGTTGTATATGGAGTAGAGCAACCGCTCCAGGGCTGGGTCATAATAGGCAACACATAGGGCTACCCCGCCCAACGTGACCCCGCTCTGCCTTAGATCTCCTATCATTTGGTATCATTTGGAGACTTGGTGCTTCCCATCAATCTAGTTATTCACTGTGATTCAAAATGGGAGAATACTCAGGCTTATAGATGGTCCAACTCCAACTTGGTTATGCTACCGTCATTTGTTCTTTGAAGGCGAAAACTATGGAGATTGGCAGTCTAGGTGTGATGGCTATCTTAATAGGACACACCAAGAGCTTGGAACGGAGAAAGAGGTCCCTATGTGGTTCCTAGATGCCGACAATGGAAGTATGTACGGTGAGCTAAGATCTTGAGCACGAGCTTGATTTCATGAACGAAAAAAATCCCAATCTCGCTCCTGCTCCTATACTAATTAAGCCCCAGGGTTAGGGCAAAAGCGCAGGGCCGAGTACATTTGAGGGTAATGAGAGGTTTATTCGTGTTCCTTCAGGCTGTGAGTAGCACAGCTGCAAACCAGTCTATTTAAACATCCAAGTCGCATAATAATCCGAAGAAATAAAGTGCATTATACTGATATCATTCTTCACGTAATTCACCTGGTGATTATTCCATATTCTATAGACAACCATGCTCGATCTGGTATTTGCGAGGGTGAAGGGTGGGCAATGCGAGAAAACAAACCGTGGATGTATGCCACGGATTCAAGGGTGGGGAGAGGGGAAGGTATGTACATTTCATGAATGCATGCTGGAAGACAACCACAAAAACTGCGAGGAAAGAAAGAGGCGAAGAGACACGTCGAGGTGGACGGCGGGAGTTGCTTTGGGCTCAGCCCCCGAATGGTCTCCTCCACCGAGATGAAACTGTGCTCTAGGTAGAACAAACATTGGATATAGCGATGGAATCAAGTTCCAAGAAAACGAGCGAAAACATTGGATATAAGGGCTGTCCGAGACAATTTGAGATGACATCGGAATCCCACAATGTACGATACCAATGTTCCACTGCTGACGCAGACTGTTCCTTCCACCAAGATATGAATCACAACAGCCAGTCCCAGTGGCAAAGCATGGTTGATGTATGTGTCAACAGTGATGATGGAAATGCTGACACCATCTCCCGATAATAAATAAGCCATTAGATCCATTGAACGCCGCCCAGAAAGGAAACCCCATGACCAACATAACATGCAGGCTCCAGCTTAAAAACACCCAAGGGCAGACCCAAGAGATGCGCACAGCCGAATAAATAGACAGGGGAAAAGCAGACGCAAGAAGATGTGGCGAGCACTGAGCACTAATGCACCAGCGTCCAGATCTATGGCGAGGCCCAGCCACCAGCCACTTCCACCCATTCGGGGAGACAGCTGCCTTGCTTGCCCTCGACATCGACAATGTCAGTGTCGCAGCGGCATCGGCAACCGACACCGTTCTCCTTGACCTGGTCAGGAGTCGCCCAGTACTCGTCTTCTTCGATCCGTTTCTTTTCGTCATCAGTGGTCATCTCGAGGTAAGGGATACGAGTGAGTTGGCGGGCCGGAGCGTTGGCCGGGCAATGCTGAATGGTAGTGTGCCGGTAGCCGAAGTCACGGAAGTAATGGATATCACTAGGCGCGAGGAGAGCACCGGCGGCGAGAGAGTGAATGGGAGCATCACCCCACTAGTACAGTTAGTAAGGATCCCGTGGCAGATTTCAAAGACATAATATAACGTACCCGCTCATTCCAAAATCCTCCACTTCTGTCCATCATAGTGAAGAAGTCTTCATACTCCTTGCTGCGGAACCAATCCAGACGGGCAATCTCGAAGTTACTCCAGAAATGGCACATGTTGTAGCTCTCGCCTTCCATGGCCTCTGGGTCAACATCCTTCAAATTGTTGTCACCGGGGTCGGTCTGCAGGATTTCATCTGGCAATTTGTCCTTCTTCTCCTCGGGAGGAGTTTCTGGTTGCTCTGGGTGCTCTAGGAACATCTCCCACAAACCCTTGGACTTGAGGTTGTTCTTGCGCTTGTAAGCAGCCGCATACCGGAAGATGTTGGGAACAGTCTCGCGAAGCTCCTTGACTGCAATTGTGAAGCCATAGGTCTTGTTTGCCTCGGCCATCTTAAGGAATGGATCACTAGAGTAACAAGTCAGCAGATAGACCAGAAAAAAATGCCACCGTGGGTATCTTACTAGGTGATGTCACAGAAGTACTTGATCTCGGGCTCCAAACGCCAGTACCACTCGTACTTCATCAGCAGAGGGTGCTTGTAGAAGTGTCTATCACAGAGTTAGCTTTATAATCCAAATCTCCTAAATCTGCCTTTGAAGACTGACCCTGAGTAGAATCGGCACATGTGGTGGTAGCTTTCCATTCCACCGTACATAATAGCAGCATCACCTTGCTTTTTGATGCCCTCTTTGGCAACCTCATGGTCAACCCAATCAGGGAATCCCCACATGGTGTTGTCAATTTTGCCGAATTCAACCTCCGCGCTGGTGTAGTTCTTGACCGTCGCCTTGAACTCCTCGTCGAAGTCACCATCGTTGAGGAAAACATAGGGGTAGTGCCACCACCGGTTGAAGTGTCTCTCAATCGACTTGAGCGACTGAATCACGCCATCCAACTCCTTATTTCTAGCAAGGACGACGAAGGCGGCGTTGGCGCGGGGAGCCTTTGCAATTTCCTCGGGCTCAATGGGCATACAGCCCGTAGCAAAGACTTTATCGTGCTTTTCGCTGATTTTTCTATGAAGCGCAGGAAGTTAGCTATCGCACACAGGATTGCCAATTGATAGGGCGATACGAACCGGATAGAAGGCGGAGTGCCCGCTGGAATTAGGATCCCCCCGGGAGAGGTAGGGTGTCGCACAAAGAGGAGCAGAATAAGGACAATTACAAGGCATGGAAATAGTAAAACAAGACCCAGGGGTATAGAAATAGATGAGTTGCCCTTTAGGCGAATCCTCCGTCGGAAAAAGGCGAATCTAGGATGAAGGCGGCCTTTCTCGATTGGAGCATCTTCCAACGGCAGACTCGGCGCACTGGGCAGCCGTTTCGTAATACGTTGGATGAAGCTCATGGGTGCGATTGTCGTGAGACCACACAAATAACAGTAGAGGTCAAGCTGTCAGGCCCAAGCGACAGCACGGGGCCGTTAGGGAGATAGTGGAGAAATTATGTCGGAGGTGTGATCACAAGAGGGATGCGTCTCGGGGAAAAGTTGTGAGCACACGATCAAACCGAATTCGGACCGTATGGATGACAGGAAGACCTGAAAGTCAAATAGATCTCAAGTGAAAATGGAGAAAATGACAGCAAAACGAGTGGCCGGAGGAATGCCTCCTTTCCTCCCCCAACTTTCTCAGTCCCACAGTAAATAGATGGGGAGAGCGTCGGGAGCAACGCAGGAAACTGTGAACAGCAAGGTACACAGAGAAGAGATTGGGGACATCAACAGGATGAGGGCGATGAAGAAAGAAGACGGATGGGGAATTGGAAGATGGGATGGGTTCCAAGAGGTTGCTTGCGCCTCCCTGGTCTTGGCGAAGTCCGGTGGCCTCTTTAGTGTCACCCGGAGACGGTTATTTTGCCCCTAGTTGCTGTGTAGTGGCGGTATAACCAGTATTGTATGGTATTTATGAGGTAATATTCTTTTTGTGCGATTGTTCTTTGCTTCTTCTTATATTCTAAGGATTTACTCCGTACATATATCTTCTTGAATAGTTCCTTTACCTTAAATGTTCAAATATTGTTTTTCAGTACTCCGTATATCCCTTATAATTAAAATTGGACTTCTTGCGCGTTTGTTCTTTTGTCGGTGATTGGCTTCTTATAGCGTCTAAGGGGGTGATTTCTTTTTTTTAAACGGTACTAGCTCCAAGCTAACGAAGAAAGCTTTGTGATTTTAATCCTATCTAGAACTAGCTGGAATTATGCTTGTGCTCGTGTACTTCGTACAAACCCTTGTATCTGTATCTCCCTAAAAAAATCCAATGGTATAGTCAACTGGGTTCAAATATTTTATACAACAACATGCATACGTAACCCACTTGGTCCACCTGGCATCCAGTATTCGGCCCTATGGGGCAATTTCACATATTATATACACTGGCAATGAGGATGATCTGGCTTCTCTGGAATTTGTTTATATTATAAACTCTTCACATTTACCCGGATAACTAGAGCCCTCGGTTTGTTGCACCTATCTCTACGGAGACGTATATACGGAGTAGCCAATACAATCTCTAGAATTAGCGCATGACGATCGAGGGTCCCAAACTTTCGGCCGTTAGACCCAAAGTAGTGCCTGTACGGAGTGATTCTTGGGGATGACCCTGTCATCTGCTCAGAATTCAGCCTCTTTAGGTGCCTCTTATTGAGTCACTTAAGTACCTGGTACATGATAATTCATATTGAGGATAATATCTAAGGGTGTACTCAGTACTTATACAGGGTGTCAAACTCACACATGAGATCTACACATGATATAATACTCCGTACTGTATTGTAATTTATAATTTCAATTTTCACAAAAACAGAAAATCCAATTTAAAAAATTTAATTATCAGTCCCGTCCAAGGGTCCAGACCCCTCTGTATTTTTTAAAAAAAAATCCCATACATATTTATGTTTTATGTTTGGTTTATATGATTTTGCGTTTTTCGTTCTATATTGCTTCAAATGTTACACGAAATAGATGTATGTTGTACTTTCCAAGATTGTACCTACATATACTCTGTTATATATAAAGCATATATACATAGGTACATAAGACTACTCTCCTCTGTAGGCATACAAAATTAATTTATTGGTTACCCATAATCCAAATATATCAACCTTGGAACATAGCCCTGGAGGCTTATATATATCATGCGACATACGACTTACATATATAAATTCCCATGCAAGTCGTAGATCCTAACTTGCCCGTTAAGCCAAAGGGTCAAAAGGCTTGGTTCCGAGATCATCCCCCGTCATCCCCCCATCATCCCTCTCTCTCCGCATGATAAACTATATGGAGTCACCGTGGGGTTCCCCCTTTTCTTTTCTTTTCAAACCTCAACATGAATACAGTGCTGACTCGACCCTCATTCTCTGAGGGTAAATCCCCGGTCAAAATCCCTGAACCAGGCCCCTCTCATTACCGCCTTCATAATAGTGGAACTTTGGATCCCTTTTCGCCAGTGAATGAAAATGGAAGCTTTGAATTCGATCGAGTTTTGAAAACAGGGAGGGTCTCTCGTCGAGTTAAGCACAAACATGTCTTTCGCGCCTCATGGAAAGCAGCCTACCTCGTCCTCCGGCCAAACCTCCTTTCCGTATACAAAGATGAAGAAACCACCCGCCTCCGAGTCTCCATTTCCCTATCTGAAGTGACCGCCGTCGCACCCGTCAAGTCCCCGCGATCAACCCGGCGCCATGTTTTCGGGGTCTTTACCCCATCTACGAATTACCGCTTCGAGGCCCCGACTGAACGCGAGGCCGAGGACTGGATCAATCGCATTCGAGCCGAGACTCCAGGCGACGAGGACGAGCAAGCTTTCCTAGCTTTGACCCAAAAGCGCGAACCCCCCGCTATCCACAAACAATTCGTTGACGAGACAACCGATCACTCTGACTTCGATCACACTGGCCGCGCCAGCTCCCCAGAGCCACGCCATGCACTGTCCCCACGCAGCAAAAATACCCAGAGACACCCTTACATCCAGGATTACTCCGGCAACGAAATGACTTCCTTTTCAGAGTTCTCTGATGGCCCCGCGCCAGCACGCGGCCAACTACGATCTATGCGCTCCATCCATTCACTGTCTGTCCCAACAGAGGATAAACCAGTACCGCGGCCGTCAACATCTCTTCCCCGAGACACAAACAAACAGTCCGACCTGGGCGTCCTGCGTGACCCAGAGCGGGTCATCTGTCAGGGGTACCTGCAGGGGCTACGCATCCAAGGGACCGTGCGCCAGTGGAAACGACTCTGGGTTGTGCTTCGACCCAAGAGCCTAGCCTTCTACAAGGACGAAGCGGAATACGCAGCCATCAAGATCATCCCCATGTCCCAAGTATTTGATGCCGCAGAAGTGGACCCGTTGTCGCGATCAAAGACCTTCTGCATGCAGATCATCGCCGAAGAAAAGACCTATCGACTTTGCGCCCCAGATGAAGAGTCCCTCGCGCGCTGGCTAGGCTCGTTGAAGAGCATTCTCGCTGCACGCAGGAGGTTGGATCCCGCTCCGGGCACTTCTGTATAACCCTCATTCTACGGAGGCCTGTTTTATTACTCCTATTTCTATTCCCTTCGCTTCATCTTCCCTACATCTTAGCGTCCCTCTTTCTTCATTTCCTACCTTTTACCTCTTTTCTTTCAATATACCCAGGTTGGTGATTCCGTCTTGACTGCTCGTCTCATGAGTCTTCAAGGAACGGATTGGCGTTATTACCTTCGTTGGACTTTCAGTGGGCGAAGGGGAGTTCATTTTCATCACGAAGCTACCCAGCTTTTTTTCCACTTTTAATTATTCCAACACCATTGTCTCTTGATTTCATTCAGGTAATGCATTCTCAATGTGCATTCATGCTTCTTACTGTCGAGTCTGGCATTCTCCCTTGTCTGTCTTCTTCTATTTCCCTGTCTATATTGATCACCTATTATGTATCATATTGCTTCTGGTCGTAGTACTCCAGTGCGTAATATATAATATCAATGAGAAACCATACGTTCAACCCTTCGAGCGAGAGAGTTCATGTGCTTCTGCCAGTTGTATATGCAGTTCACATGACAGTATATCTCAATACGAAACACTATTATACAATGGCTAGCGCTATGCAATGCATGGCGCCAAAAATGCAGACTAGCGTAGTGGCGCTCTCTCAACTTGCTGGGCTGCCCTAACAGGTATATACAAGCGACCAACTATCTATTGGACAGGAACGCCTCAAACAAGAAATGAAGAAACCGAAAGATTCCCATTTCTTAATCTTCCATACAAAGCGCCCAATGCCCGCATCAACAGGACACAAATTGCTAGACTCGCGAGCTTAAATCTAAATCTCGAATGTGGGAAATGTGACGTCCATCAGACTACATGGTGTGAACCACATCTGTAGATATATATTCCCCAGCCCTCACCACAAAATACCCCCTTTCAGTAGTATTTTCGTCCATAATTAAGTATCATAATAGAGAAACAACTAGTTAGGTTAAATAGACAGTCAAGCGCGAAATCAAGGGGGGAAAGTAGACTTAATCAGAATATTGTTGAATAACTCTATAATCTATATTGGGTCTACCAGTCCTTTGGCTAGGTAGCGAAGGGTAGCTGGAGAAGATGCAAAGTTGTTATGTGAACAAGCTACAATATGTAGCGATAAATACAAGAACCTTCTTAGGTTCACCCTAGCGCATTTCCTCTTCTTCAACGGGAATGCTGTTATACTCACCCGAGAAGGACCTGCCTGCTCCAGCAGTAGTAGCAAGATCATCCTGGGGCTTGCTCTCGTGCTGCACAACCAAAAATGACGAGACCACGATAGTTGCTCCAACCCAGTACAAAGGACTGGAGTATTGTGACTGTAGGACCATCTGTCCAATCAGGGAGAGCGGGATGGTCATACTGAGTCCAACTGTCACGATAAGCGGTGTGGTAAGAAGCATAGAGTAAGCCCAAGCAATGTCAGAGACAAATGATGCAAGCGCGTTAGACTGATAGCCGTGAGGTTAGCCAAAGAATCAAAGGTGAACAATAGGGCCGGGAGGCATACCAAAATGATGAACCACACACGGGACGTTTCGGGCAAGGAGAAAGTCTCCATTCCTGTCCAGTGCAGGATGAAGAAACCAGGCCACAGAAGGATAATGTTGAAGAATCCAACTAGTCCGAAGAACAGTGGCATGTTTACCCGGGTCTCGTCGCCAACTTGTTTCTTCATCACGACGGTGTAGAGACCGTACAGAACAGAACTGAAGGCCGCCATGGCATCGCCAAGAGCAATCTCGCCTGGGGATTTGTGTGGGAATGTGCCTTCGCTGCCATCTCCAGCATCACCTGTGTCTGGGCCGGAGAGATCGACGCGCGAAATCAAGATAATGCCAATCAGAGAAGCGATGACACCCATGAATTTGCGCAAAGTGAATCTCTCAACACGGAATAGGGCGCCGAAGACCATGGTCCATACACCTAGATGAGTAAGAGTGAGAACAGGATTTTGAACACATGTAAAATAGGGGATTCTTACCACTGGTGGAAGTCAGGATGGTTGTGCTTGCAACTGATGTGAATTGAAGACACCCCATGGCGAAGTAATTCGCCTAAAGAAACTTGGATTAGTTCACCTCCAACGCATAAGAAATCACATCATGAGGTGTACCACATACAGCAAACTATGATAGGTTAGCCAGCTGGTCATATATCCAAACTTCAAGGTTGTGCACTTACCCAGAGAAGACAAAACTGAATACTGAGTCTAGCTGTTGCTTTGAGCCCTAGCTTTCCACTTGGAGGATCCTGTGTCTCCCGCGAGAATCGCTCGCCCTCGTCATCAGAACCGGCGCGCAACATGCTCTCCTCCTCGGTCTTTGGATCATGCGAATCCAAATGATTCAAAAAGCTCTTCAGCGAAGTAATCTGAGAGAGCTTTCCGAGACGCCAAAGAGCCCATGTTCGACGAGCGACAATTATAAGGAGTGGCATCATAAACATGGATGTGTTGGTATAAGTCACGAAGAAAGGTCTTGGGTAGGTTCTATCGGCGAAAATGGTCTGGATAGTCGATGTGTGATTAGCCAAATGTTCACAATGGTACAGGCCTTCTGCAATATGATTATCAAAAAGAGGGCGCGCATACACTACTAAGGAAGTTCGAGGTCGTCCATAGCAAAACCACCACTAGGAGCAGGATGATTCCTAATGTTCGCCGTGATATCCCCAGTGGCATCCCAGAGGATCCCTCAGTTGTGGCCGAGACCATCGTAATTGTAGTTTGTGAGATGTTGAGAAGGGGTAAATTTCCGTGACTTGTTGAGGTGTTATCAGGAAGCTCGTGTCGCCGATGTCGCAATCGCTACGTTTGCAGCCGAAGATTCCGAGTTGGACGGGATATCGGGCTGTCGCGTAAAGCGCAAGCAATTATATATGCGGGGCAAATGAGTGCCACGAGACTTCCTGCCTAAAGAGTGTCTGAAGAGAACACGGGGTTAGATGCCAAGCATTCGCAAGATAAGGGTCCCGGGTGGGGAGAAATGTAGTCGCCGATATTGGGGGCTTAACACTTAACACATATATAGCGAATGGAATTTTCCCTGGTGATTAGATTTAACTCCGGCTACGGTTGGAAGTACTGGATTTATTATGGACCTATATGTAGGATACATACATGTAGGTATAGTGATTCATATGAAAAAAGCCGCCTGTTTACAACATGAGTCGAGGCATAATATGATATAGTGTAATGTAAATAGATATTTTGGACAATAAGATCTTATATTTGGTCGAAAAGAAGCTAGGGTTGCCATTAGGAGTAATCAGCAGTGATGATACTGGGTCATCTGAAAGTACTAAATGCGCAACCAACTGCCTATTACGGAAAGATGAAGATGATGGTATTGCATGAAGTCCAAAAAAGACACTGCCTGCATAAACTGAACTGAGTAAGATATTTCTCTCTCAGCAAAATCCCACAATAGAAACCAAGACATCTACAAGACACCGGGGGAAGGGCAAGGTTATCCAGAGCAAAACCCCGTGGTCTCCTCTACAGACTCAGGACCGAAGACTAACTAGATAGTAGTAGGAAAAAGGAAAAACAAAAGGAAATAGGTCGCTGGAACACATGTGAATAGGAAGGGTATATCAACAGGCACAGCCATCACGGTCATTGTCCAGATGGATGTTGATTGGGTCGCTGAATTCGCCGCTGAATTCTTCGGCCTCTTCCTGGGCAAGTGCACTCCGCGCGATAACTAAATAGTCATTAGCAAACTTGAAAGAGAATAGCTTTTTCGAGCAAAGACTCACCCTCGAACGCTTGCTCGACGTTGATGGCTTCCTTGGCGCTAGTCTCGAAGTAGGGGATGTTACCCTTCGACTGGCAGAAAGTCATGGCCCGTTTTGAGGAGATCATACGCTTGTTCTCCTCTACATCGACCTTGTTGCCGATCACAACCTACACATGACCATCAGCACGGACCAACATATAATTATTGCCTGCTGCTGCAGCGCGCAAGATAATGAAAAGGGATACGGGAACACCACTTACAAATGGGAAACTCTCTGGGTCTCTCGGGCTTGCCTGGATCAAGAACTCATCCCGCCAGCTGTCGAGAGCTTCGAAACTCTTGGAGTTGTTCACATCGTAGACCAAGACACAGCAGTCGGCTCCACGGTAGAAGGCAACTCCCAATGACTGGAAACGTTCTTGGCCTGCAGTATCCCAGATCTGATACCGAGTCAGTTTTTACCCCTCATACAGTTGTGCTAGGGCCTCCAACGCCTTACCTGCATTGTTACCAGTCGGTCGTCGACGAGAACTTCCTTTGTGAGGAAATCAGCTCCGATAGTGGCTTTGTAGCTTCCACTGAACTTCTTATTGACCTATTCATCTCGGAAAATTGCACGTTAGCAATTGGACGGATATGTGACCGACCGCGGTACGGCCGCAGAGAGCTAGTCGGGGGCGAGGTTGAACGGACATATTGGTTCATCAGACTTGTTTTTCCTACACCGCTGTCTCCAAGGATGATAACCTAAATTTCCAAAAGGCGCCAGTCAGCAAAAGGTTCACTTTTGAAGAATTCGATGCTCGTAACACGGAGCAAGTGCGGAGATTGTACCTTGAGGAGAACCTTCTTTCTTGACGCCATGTTTGGGAACAGGTCAAATGACCGAGTGTAAATGCGTGAGGGATAAACAGAGAGTTCACTGTTAAGCAAAGACCTATTATCAGCCTTTACTAAGCCTTTATAAAATAGATAAGGGCGAGTTGGTTGGGGAGTTGGGGTCAGGTTGCAGGCGGGTTCGATGATGCATGATGCTGGGCGGTGGAGCGGGCGGTGGACAATGATAACGATAGCACCGCATCTCGCTCCCGGGGCGGCAATCAACTCCACTTCATCACATTCGGGTACATCCCCATTTACTTGGGAAGGCTTATGGCCCACTGGAGGGATGAGTACTTGGCTGCCCTGACAGTTCGAGATCAAAGAGAGAAAGCAAACGCTACCCTTTACGATGCCTGTCAGTCTAATAACGAGGCTCTTTGTTGAGCGATTGCAACTGACATCATTTACCAAATCTAGATGCCCAGCTTGCAGATCGCACCAGCAAGCTAGAAACAGCAGCAAAATGTGCCAGCCCCGCAGCAGCGCAGAGTGAAGCCCACCCCACTGTTCCATCTCCCATAGTTCCACCATCCAAAAAGCAACGAGCGACTGAGTTAGGTCCCACCCCGACCGATCTTCTCAATACCACCCGTGCAGACTTGTCTGAAGCTCAGCGATCCCGCTCAGAGTTACAAGATCGCTTGAACCGAGTGAATATAGAAGTGGAAGCACTTCGCAAGAAGAGTACGCATGAAGGTCGACGAATCAACGCCCTGGAAAGCGAGAGGGCGCATCTAAAGCTACGATTGACAGACCGAGATGCGGAACTGAAAGGGAAGGCCAAGCTGCTAGAGGTAGGCTGTTTCTATATTTGCATAGGCTTTCCAGTCACACAGACGTGGGCGAGGGAAAGTGGCTAACATAAGATATGTGCATTTCTCCAGGATTTCCAAGATGAACTGGCGACACTAAACCTTCAGCTTAATATGGCCGAAGAACGATCAACTCGACTTAAAAATGAGAACCAAGACCTGGTTGATCGTTGGATGGCTAGAATGGGCCAAGAAGCCGAGGCCATGAACGACGCGTCGAAATATTCCTGACTAGTCCCAATGCACCGAGCAGGTGACAGGGCAAGATTGCTAGAAGAGACCGGAGCATAGCTTTTGTGACATTTAGATCTTAGATCGTGATAGTTGGTCACTTAGATAGAATATGAAAGCTCTAGATACATGGTCATGCGGTCCTATCGTTGTATACGACATGTCGCATTGGCAATACTGTCACTAGGGATTCCAATAATCTCCTACGCATGCCAATTGCTAACACGCCCTAATGTGTACTCCGTATACACCGTAGTTCCGATTATTGAGGAATAGGCTGAACCGAGTTTGGCTTGAACTGGAAGAGATTATCCGTTTTGTACAGGTCAAATTGTCGGAAAATGGTATCATACAAAAAGTCAACGTATATCCAAAAACGGACAAGGTAATGTACAAAAGTGTCAAAAACAAAAAATGTATGTGCCATGCAAAGATACCAAGCCAAGCAGTCATTGAAGACTATGGCGTATTCTCAATGAATGCTTTCAGCCGAGAGCTGTCTTTAGTGGCAATGAAATATGTGCCGCCAACGTCAGTCCAGCTCACGTTGTTTGACCAGTAATTCTTCTGCTCGACCTTGAGAAGATTGATCGGGGAGTTCAGGTTGCGAGACTGGATTTTGTGACCAGCAGGAACAAAGGACTTGAGTGAAACAATTTTGCAGCCTTCTTTCATATCCAAAAAGTGGTTGATCAGCTCATTGTTCAGTTGGGGGGTGAAAGCCTGGTTGTTGATGAGCACCACATCAGCCCGCTTCAAGACGCTGGTGATACTCTCCTGCTCAAGAAAGTCTCCTCGAACAAGATGAGTTTTACCCGGCGCAATTCCCCACTGCCGGCATCGGGCCTTAAACTCGGATTGCTGCAAATCTGCCAAATCACAGGCGTTTGACATCATCTCACAACCCCAACTCTCACAGCCAACCTCAAGTGCTGCTTGAAGAACGACATTACCTACACCCGAGCCAAGATCGACAAAGACCTGGCCCGATTTGAGCTTGGTTTCTTTGAAGATTGTACTGATAAAGCGAGGGAGAAGCTCTCCGTAGACGTTGTCCGTGCCATTCTCGTATTGCCGGAGGGACTCCACTTGAGGGGATACCGTGCGCGCGTAAATTTGAGTGAGAATTCTTTCCACCCAAGGTAAATTCATGCCTTGTTTCGCATCCAAATGCTTCGCAAGGCTGCCGTTGGTCCTTAACCGCTGAATAGCCTTATTGTAATCATCGACAGCTTCCCGAAATTGAGTCTCGGATGTTACAGCCAGAGCCCGGCGCAATCGACGCTTGATCCCAGTCGTCTCGTCGTTAAACTGATCCGCCTCCTCACTGGGGATATAATTATCGGCGACTGTTTCGATGACCTGAACAATGTCGTCGATAGGTCGGAATTCGTCATTTTCTCGGGGGACCACAGAGTCATATCTGACCAATGAACAGATTAGCATACCAGTACCCAAAAATCAATCGTACAATCAAATAACATACCTCTCCTGCTGCGAAGCACTGGGGTATTGCAGGAGAATCTCTTTGGGCTTGCCCTCGGCGCCAAAGGCGGGCTTGAACTTCCCGGCCTTCCGACCCGACGTTATATCCGCGGCATGTATCATTTTAAACGGACGAGATCCTTCTTCGGAAAACGCCTTCACCGAGCGAAGCCGCCGCTCCGGGTCAGGTTCAGCGCTGGCGCTGGTCCTCGCACGCTTGTGCACTTCAAATGGGGCCTCGCTATCGCTTGCGTCATCGTCGCTCGAAAGTCGTTGTTCGGGTGTCGGCCTTTTG